TGTAGACTTGTAATTCTAACCAACTTAATGAAAGCCCCGATGATGAATGGCATCGGCATGACGACTGCCCATTTACAAGTCCTCCGAAGGTTGTTCCCCCCACCTCGGAGGACGGAGGAGAGAGAGAGGGGCAGCAAAGCCAACAAGGCCGTTCCCAGCCAAGCACGAAATGAGAGGAGGTGCCGTAAATGCCATGTAATCACCGCTCCTCCTCTTCCGTTACTTACCTGGTATAGTTCGCAATCTTTACCAGCGATAAATCTTGCTTTTCTGCTCGCGCTTGTCGAGCGCCCGCTGGCATGCTCTCCCCACATTGAAAGAGCCCACCTCAAAGCTCGGCGAGCGTTGATGAAAGCGTGGGGAGCACCGAGAGGAGGGGCGGGAAAAACATGAGGGGCTGATCAGCATCACGGCCGGCTCGGCATTGGAGAAAGATTCAAGAACAGAGCTGAGAAAGAGAGAGTCTCCAGAGTCCGCGAGTCCGCTCGGCCCAAAAGACCAAGACGGCATGCCGGGAGGTCCGCTGGAAAATCGAAACTTATTCGTTTTCGACATCTCTCGACAACGAATGAACGCCTCTCTTCACGTTGTAGTCGGGATTCAATGCCAAGAAGTCGAAGCCTCACTTTGCTGTATGAAAATCAAATGCTCTTCTCATTCTTTGTTGCTTTGGGAGAGAGAGAGTCGGGGCCCCGTTGTATGAAGTATTATCGCGCGAGGACCAAAAAGGTCGACTCGGAAACCGTTGGATCTCTTGGCAGTGGTGTCCGAGTGCCAGATCTCTTCCTTTGCCCTCTCACCTCCTCAGGATTCTCTCTCACCCAAATCTGTCCGTGCTGCCTCCCGAAGTCTCAAACACATGCAGACATGCTAAGAGGCCGTAATCGGTCTAGGGCGGAAACGGGGGTCGCGCGGACGGGCCATTCTCGCGATGCCCGCGCAGGTCTGGCGCATCCACTCAAGAGGCCGCATCTCCAAGTTCCGCATTGGACACTTTCACCTTCACGTCCTCTTCGCCGGGCCACCTCTTTGCTGTGCACCTTGCGATGCCAAGGAGTCACAGCACGAAGAATAGGCTGTCGCAGAGTATTGGCTGCCGTCATGCTGCATGCCAATTCTCCAAGGCTGAGTATTTGAACTTGAGCTTGAGCTTGAGTCTGAGCTTGCATCATTGAGCAAAATATGGAACGCATGGCCACGGGATATCTCTCGCGTTGGGATCCTGCATGCCAGCGGCTCGCCGGCAAGGTACAGCTGCATTTCGACGTGAACAACTGTAGGCAGGGAGAAGCTCAGCGGACGCTCGGCTTATGATATAATCAATGTCACAAGTTTCCCTGGGCGGTTGATGGCGGCGCCTCCAGTGACCCGAGACTTGGCAACCAGCGATGCGCCGGGCGAGTCAGGAAGAGGAATGGTCCGGGATGGAGGCTGTCGAACCGAAGCTTGTTTTCTGATGATGGGCGGTGGGCTTACAGGAGGAGTAGCCACTCTCGTGGATTTGAAGGAGTCTCTTCTCCTCTTCTCCAAGAATGGTCGACCTTCCTCGAGAGAGAACGACACAAGCTAAAAGACAAGGATTTGCATGTGGAAGCACAGCCCGCCGACTGTCGGACGAAGCAGCTAGCAGCGCCTTGCATGTACACCATCAAACGATGAAAGGTATTCCAGCTTGCACCGCCATTGCCCAGTGCGAAGAAACCGGGAATGGACAAATGTAAACCAAAAAAGCGCTATTAAAAGCGTCAATGGAGATTTGTTTTGTTTCGAAGGTTTGGGAAAGATGAAGCGACCAACTAGAGCAAAGGCTCCAGTTTCTTGGTGTTGATGGGCGCGGCCGACATCAAGGGTTCACTCTAGTTGGTGCGTATCGACAACAACGGGCGCCGCCGCCGTATTTTTGGTCTCTCGTCTCCATGGCTGGTAAATGCCATTGGCAACGCGCATTGGCTGCATGGAGATCTAAAGGGCTGAGCTGCCTGAGCTACATTGCAATCGGAGACGGCTCTAACGGTCCTGTCCCCAGCACCAAGGCCCCATTCCGTCTGATGTTCGCGGCGGGTTGCCTGTACGTGACATGGAGCGATCGTGGAAGCAAATAGTTCAAGTGCGTTCTTTTGGAGTTCTTTTTGGAGGGATATCCCTCTGTACATTGAAAGTGCTCAAGAGGAGGCAGGAAAACGCAGTGTAAGCGAAGGGGGTGCAGGTTACAGCTCGCGGGTAGCGGGTGTACCTGAAGGTCAAAGACGAGGATGGCTAGTCTTTGCAGTCGGACTGAGCGCTGGGGAAAGGAGGAAAATGTCTCATTTTGATGGACTGCTTCTACGCAAAACCAATGGGTGGCTCCTGCGGGTATACGGGGGGAAAAAGAGAAGGGACGTCGAGTCAAGGCACTGCGTTTGGGGTTGCATGTTGTTGATGGTATTCTTCCTCGGTAAGAACGGGTCAATAATATTATTGACACAACGGCATTCCGTGAATAGAACAGAACGGAGCCAAGCGAGAGACTTGATGGAAACAAACGACGGACGAGTTTGTTTGGGGCGCTTTTGAGGGGCCTGGAGACTGGAGTCACTTGACTGGCCACAGGGTAGGGTAGGTCAGGGCATAATGAATGAAGGCTGGGCAGAGAATGTGTCAAGGTGAAAGTCTGAGCTGGAGATTGACTAGTTGGAGCGTGGGATTCTCGACACGGGAATGGGATGAGACTCGTGGAAAATGGGCCAAGGAAAATCGGCGGCTGCCTCACGAGGACACCGACAAGACAAGACAGCTGCTGCTGCTGCTGCTGCTGCTGCATCTGCAACGCAGGCGGCTCTATTCGTATGGGTGTCAAGGAAAACCCCGAGGGGGTGTGGTGTGGGGGTTGACTAGTTGGGAGAGAAAGACGCTGAGACTCTCGCTGGAGAGACTGAAGACTGACACTCGAAAAGCTGCTCTGAGTGGACGGATCACGGATGATGACCGTGACTGTGCGAAGTGGTGAGTCGGTGATTTGACGGTGTCGACATTTGGGGCCCGGAAAGAAACTTGAGAAGATGACTGGAGAGAAAGAGTTAGCTCCCGAGACTTAGACCCAGGTGAACCAGCGGTGACCTGCGTGTCATACGAACGAGATATGGCAGACGCAAGTCACTTTTTGATGAAATGAGACAAGGCCAGGGAGGGTGGGTAGGATGATGGTTGGTCAGACGGTAGTGTGTTCCGTACTTTGCAGAGGGCAGCGGCCAGCGGGCTTGCGCAATTAGGGAATTGCAGATGCGAGATTTCGAGATGGCGCGCGGGATCCGTTTCTTCCTTTCCCTTCCTCTTCCTCTTCGGCCCTAGCAAGGGAGGCCGGCGTGGCTGCTAGCTTGGTTCCATTCCCTTCCTTGGACCTTGGACCTTGCCGATGCCAGCTTTGATTTTTACGGAGTAGACTATTTCGCAAGTGCTCCTCCATGCGTATTTGCCTTGGAAAAGCGGTTAGCAGGGTGATTTGAGCAAAGTGTGGATGTTTTGACGAGACAGATGCAGCCACTGGGAGGGCCAGCAATGGTCACCCACCAGCGGTGGAGAGACTCGAGAGAGCACTGGCCAGCGGGCGAGAGCCGACGAGGATCACAGCCATGCCATTTTCGTCGTGATTGTCGATTGAACGTCGATGGGAGGACAGGGGCAGGGTGCTCGGCGTGGGTTGAGAAGCCAGGACTCAGGGAGTTCCGTCAGGGCTGGGGGGATGGATGTTGAATGAGGTACGTACTCGTGCAACGGAGTATCCATAACTGCGAATCGGTACGTTCACGTACGTACTGTGGGTGGACGGATGGGGGCAATCAGGTGTTTGACGGTTATTCGTCGCAGGATTTCTGACCAATGAGATGATGGCTGGGTACAGTCTGACATTGTGGAATGCCTTTCGTCTGAGGTCTTTGGGGCCCACTCGGCTAGCTCCGTTTTCGGCGCGAAGCTTGAACTTGCTTGGCGCGGTACCCGAGGCAAGGCGAGAAAAGTGCCGCAGATTCCCGCAACGCCGGCGCAGGTTGAGAAAGTCGTTTCCACTCTGAATCACCGCTTTGGAGAGGTTCAAGACCATAGACACTGTTGCTGGACACTGTGTGGCGCCCGCTACTCCGATCCGTCATTCCATCTCCCACTGGTATTGATGATGATGCTGGCCCTTTCTTTCACTCCGACGGTCCAGTGGATATGAGAAAATGGGGAGGCCCCTGCGAGCCCTGAACGACAGGCCTGTCCCCGGACTAGCGGTGTTCTTTTTGGGGGTCCACCTCGCCCATTGATAGCTTGAACTTGGCACTGAGTTTCCTTTTTCCCCAATCCGTGCCACCCCCGGGCCCCCGGAGACATACGGGATCAAAGAAAATAAATAAAAATTCTCGAAGAAGGGCGGAATCCCCACGGAAAACACTTAGGCGAAGGAAATTTTTCAAGGGGAGACCGGACCGAGCGCCATTGAAAAATTTCTAGGCTGCGGAATAAAAATTTAGAAAAAAAAAAAAAAAAAGAGTTGGGATCATTGAGCATTCATTCATACCCGGGGGCGTAGACCAGAGAATGCAATGGGGCAGCACCAAACCATGTCTGGACTCTGGAGGTTGGATACTTTGGGGAGGGAAAAACAATTGCCAAAATTACCAAAATACCCAACACAAAGCTCACTCTTTTTGAGTGTGTACCTTACGGAGCATAAGGTAGTGTGCTATGTATTTCAAACGTGCAAAATGAGGGCTGCGAGAATTGTGCTGAGGGAATTAAAAAGACGCATCGCAATAAAACCCTATTACCACATGCACTGGCTACTTACCTTGAAGTTGAACTTGCCTCTGCAGTGAATTTGTTGTTCTGGTTTGTCTGCAATCAGCTGCCAATTGCTGCCTTTTTGCCAAGAAGCAGCAAAAAAAGGCAGAAAGAGTGAATCAGCACCGCACTTGCAGTCTTGCAGTCCGCGAGCCTGCAGCACTGCAGCAGCGCCTCACTCTTTCTTGGCTCCTGCCTGTCCGCCAAGATCTTCAAACACCTTACTTTGATCTCGCCAAGTCCAACATCCCAAATCTTATCATCCCCTTTTTTGGTGGTTTTCCCTTTTTGCGCTTCATCCGCTGCTTGGGTTTTTCTTTTTGCTTGCCGCTGCCACTGCCTCACATACACACCATCTGGCATCCACCCCGCGTCTTGTCCTCCCTGTCTACGGATAGTACCCTTTTCGCAGGAAGCTACCCGTCGTCTTCCCTGTTCACGGAGTATTCCCATTGCAGATTGCAGAAACAACACGCACGCCATACACCACACACCACACATACGCACACAAAGACCCCGAAAAACCACCTTAGACCATACACGCCAATTGCACCTTATTCTGCAACCTGCGGCCTGCCATTGTTTCTCTCAGTCTCTTGGCCATCCATCACCCCGGCCCTTTCGCCCACCTGACCCCGAAAACCACCACACACACAACCATCTCTCCCTCTCTCCTCCAATCCAAAGCAGCCGGGACGACGCGGCCAGAGTACGGATACGCATTGACGAGCAATTCTACCACAAACGACCACCAAGAGATTCACCGCGACCAAACGCCCGCGACTCTCTCCTGGCGAGACGGATATCCATAATCCCACGCACCCAGTCAACAACCCACCCACTCTTACCGCATACTGAGCTGCATGCTGCCTACTGCGCGCGCCCACTTACGGATACTCTCTTCTCCTCTCCGCCCTGTCTCCCTTTCTCTATGAGGGTCTCTCAATTATCCATCAGTCCATCAATCAATCAGCCATCTCGCGCCCACTTCTTCCCCTCTCAGTCAGACGCTTCTCCCGACCTCCTGCTTCCACGAAAAGCTCCCGCTGTCCGACACCTCCTCGTCGCGCGCTGAGCTGACTGGAGCTGTAATACCGCAACTCTTCTTTCGGGTCTTCTAGCAAACGAGAAGCATCCACACCACACCACACAGGCACACACACACACACACACACACCAGCACCACGGACAAATACCTAGGTACCCTACCTTACCTATTGCCTACACACACACCTCTCAGGCCCGCACCACATTCCACGTCCCACACCCACACCCGTCTACACCTCCCGCGGCAACGGCAGCACCATCAAGGCGGTAAAGGGATTTGCCTGCCCTTGACCAAAGAAAACTGGCCAACTGACCTCCCCTAGTCACGGCCTCTACCCGTCGCCACCTATTTGGTCGCCTTTCCTCCCAGGTCTTCCCAGAACCCGTCCCAGCAGCAACAAGTCAGGTCTCCCCCAGCTCAATACTTGACCACGTATCCATACTGGGTACCCGTACCTTTCTACCGTACTGCCCACCGTACGGAGCAGACGCACACATCGGCAAAGGAGACAAGAGCGCTCAAGCCCTCAGCCTCTGAAAATCCTGAATTTCATCCCACCTTGGTCCTCCAACTGCCAAGAATACTCCCGGAACCTGTTAAAGTTCCTCGCTGTCCGACCATCTATCCCAGCGCCCTCTCGCCCGTTATCCTTCCTCTCTCTCTCTCTCCCTTCCCTCACATCACTCACACGTACGGTACGGATACTCAACGAGTCTACCATCCTTTCCGTCTGTTTTCGCCATTTCCCTGCGCCACGCTAGGCCCGACGTCATCTGCTCGCCCAGCACACACCAATCCTTGTACCCACGCCCACACGTCCACGGCCACACTCACGCTCGCCCTTTTCATCTGGGATCTGCGCGCACGCCGATTTAGTTATTCTTGTACCCCCAAGGACCCTGAATCATCGCACTACCGCGCCTCACATTGAGGCAACGCCCGGTCATCCTATAATCTCCCTCATCTGCCCCGGCAACTACTACAACTACTACACACATCAACTGTTTTCCTCGAGATGTCAGTTCTGTTCTTATAGCACAACGGTCCCTAGGGACACGACTTGATCTGCAGCACTTGTCTTTCGAGACGATCTTCAGCTGCACGTCCTCTTGAGGGCACCAACTCTCATCAACCTATCCATACAACAAAACAACACCAACTACCACTACTACTCGGAGAAGCTTCTCGCAAGCAATCTCGCGATTACTACTACAGCTGTTACTACTACCAACAGCTCTTACGAAGTCGATCTTCGACCGGTTGCGCCTGCTAGAAGCATCGTTGAACGACTTGGCCTGGAATTATCAACCATTCGCCACACCTCGAGCCGAGAGCCCGAAATCACCCCCTGCACCCAACCTCGACCAACATCACACCTCTCCACCATGACGCACCGAACAACACAACACGACGCTGCGACGTCAAACGTCCTGGCCTGGTCAACACATTGCGCAAATATGCCCTCCATGGTAGAAGACGAGTCCGCCGACGTCGATGAGCCACCGGAAACGCAACTCCCCATTTCTCCCATCACCAGCATGTTCAAGCGGAACCCCATCAGACGCACCACCCTCGACCACAACGCCTCTCTCTTGACCAAGGCGCTCCACAGCCCTTCCGAGGATGAGGACCCCGAGACCCGCCCGGGTATGTCCTTCTTTGCCCGTCGTCGCTCCATGGCCAGCAACATCAGCTTGGCCTCCACTGCCGACTTGACGAGCGATACTGGCTTGACCAGCCCGTCCCGCGCCAACACTCCCAGCCCACCCCTTCCCGAGATGCGTCTTTTGAACATCCACGACGAGCCTGCCAAGGAGGCACCCAAGAAGCGTTGCATCCAGTTCGCCTGCGCGGCGAAGCCCAGCAAGCCCGTTGAGCCTATCCGCAGCCAGCCCATGGTCAAGGCACCTTCTGCCCAGGAGCCTCAGCGAAGATCTTGCATCAAGTTCGCCTGCCCCGTCCCTCAGCGTCCTGCTTCGACGCAAAACACGCCTCCCCAGCGATTGGAGATGGCAGCCGCCAGACTTCAAGCACCTGCGCCGGCGACAGCTCGCAAGACCCGTTCGAGGTCTCCCAGACCCACACTCGCTCCTCCCCAGGTTGAAGTCTCTGTCAAGTCTCCCACCACCAAGAAGTACATCACCGCCAACCCCTCCGACTTGAACAATGAATCGTCTCAATTCCACGAGTTTGCCAGCGACATTCCCCGCGAGGACGACTGGATCCGTCAGGCCTTTTCATCTCAGGGACGTCGCATTACCATTGACGACACTCTGAAGAAGGAGAACGCCATTCGTAAGCTTGCTACTGAGGCGGAAGAGGAGGCTGAGCAGGAGGAGGAGGACTTGGCCACCGCCATTGACGATGATGAGGACCTCGACAACCTTGATGACGCCGACGACGATGAAGATGACTGCGAGGACGACGACGAGGAGGACGAAGATGATGAGGACGAAGATGAGGACGACGCTTCTGATGAGGATGACAATTCTGATGGCTACAAGACGGACGAGGAAACCGGATTCGCCGATTCCGAGGAGGAAGAGGAAGACGATGATCTCCGCTTGTGGACTCCTGGCCGCTCAACCATTCAGAACATTGACAGCACTCCCATCGCCCGCAGACCCTCCCTGCCCGAGCAACTTTCAGATTCGTCCATTGCCTCTCACAGCAGCCTCCGCGCCCGACGTGGCCGGGCTCAGCGCATCAAGATCCGCCCTGGCACGCCTGAGCTTCCCGACAGCACTGACTTCGTCTGCGGCACTCTCGATGAGGACCGTCCCATGGAAGATGCCTACATGTCTTGCTTGGCCGCTCGCAGACGCGAGAAGCTGCAGTTGATTCCCCAGGACATCGACCCCAGCTTTCCTGCTTCGGACCCAGAGGACGAGGGCGAGGAAGAGATCTACAACCCCGTCCACCACAGCAGTGATGATGAGATGTTCTTCCACGGCAAGATGGAGGATCTGCACCACAAGAACGACCGAAGCCGTCGCCAGAAGAAGGCGGAGCACACTCCTCCCAAGCGCTTCCACTCCCCCCCGCCCATCAAGCGTCGTGCCTCTCCCGCTCCCAAGAACCGTGGCCGCTCCCCTCGCCGCCTCTTTGACGGTCCTTCCCCCCGTCGCTTGAGATCCCCGGCTCCTCAGATGCTGAAGTCTCCTCCCGCGTCTCCTCGCAATGGACACGGCGCCATTACTTTCAAGACCTTGGCATCTCGCCCTGGTCTCACCGTTACCAAGTCTCTTCCTCGTCCTCCTTCCATGTTCCCCCACATGGCCAAGGGACGTCGCTCCAAGGCTCCTGCCAACGATCTGCATATCCGCGGCGCCATTGACATCGTCAAGGGCTTGGAGCGCAAGCGACAGCGTCGCAAGGAAAAGTTTTATCAAAAGTACTGCAATCGCGCTCGTAAGGGACAAGTCCCCGAGCGCAAGCCTCAGCGCGGCCTCGGCTGTGAGCGTATGAGGGAATTGGGCTTGCTCATGGCCGGCAAGATCGACCAGGGCAACTACGTCCTCTCTGTTTAGAGAAGTGCCTACAACTACATTGGGCGGAGTTTTTGATTTGCATTTACAGCGAGACCACAAGAATTGTTTCGCAAGGCGTTTAGCATCGGACGGTGCATGGCATGGTGGACTTCATGACATATATGAGACTATTTCCCACGTCCTTTATTTTCTTGGATTGTACATATCACATTTTTTTATACCGGAGCGTCCTCGATGGACGAGGGCTCTGTGCCTACATGGACTTTCGCTTCATTTTCTTTTCTTCATCATTTTGGGAGTCCAGCGGCATCTGGACTTGGAGCACGAATACCCCCTGGAATAGCGTGTATGAAGGCTTGTATGGTTGTCGAGCAAACACATAGCATTAGGTAGCCTGATCAACAACTGCATTCCTGCGAGATATCGCAGACCTCCAATACTCTGTTCCTCTGCCATGTGACCATTTGATTTATCAAGGATATGCAATGAAATACTATGTAACGTAGGGAAAGCGCTATGGGCTCAATCAGAGGGCGTAATTCGTCATGTTAATCACTCGCAAAGGTGTTGTTTCTTATTTAATCTGACTACCTATGTGTTTGTTCATCATACCAAAGGCCAGGACTCAAGCGTCTAAGGCAGTTTGGGCGTGACTTCATTCACCTGACACAACTGTTTGGACTTTTATTATTATGGTGAAGTAGTGAAGCCTATCCTAAAGGAGATGGCAAAGAGTTTTGTTTCGCTCTGACGCACTCCCAGACTTTTTTCTCTCTTGCATTTTGCGTCTTTCCGTTTGTTCTTTGCAGATTGACAGCACTCGGTGCATCTGTGGAGCATCTCCGATACGTGGCAGCCCGAGATTTAAGGCACACCCACCTCAAAACACTGCAATTCGCAACAGCAAATGCGCCAGCCAGCACAGCCAGCACAGCCAGCACGCACCACCTCTCACTCACTTGCTGTCTTGCTGTCTTCCCGACTCTCCGGCCCAGCTCCCATCTCTCCTGGTAGCCCACCAAGCCTACTGTGTAAGGTGGCCTCCAGCTCAGCCAGTCCCGTCCCGCCCAGTCCAGACCTTGGTACCTCGCCATTCGTACACGCCCGCCGCCGCCTTGTCTCCTGGGAGCAAAAGCCCGAACATCGAAACCTCCCCGACCTCAACCTACCGACTCCACCGTCATCCACGAACCACCCTCACAATACAGACAATAATCTCGCCCCTTCGTCGTCAAGATGTGGATTATTAACTGGTGTATGTATCATGTCTTTCCTCTCATCTCCTGCCTCTGCTTGATGTCCCTCCACCACCTGGGGTTGATCTTCTGCGCGCCGCCTTCGACGTAGCTTGTGTGGCCCATCATCCATCCCTGGTTGGAACATGACAGACTGACTGGTATTCTCTCTCTTCTGTAGTCTACGACGTCCTCTCAAGCCTCGGCTTGCTCAACAAGCATGCCAAGCTTCTTTTCCTCGGCCTCGACAATGCCGGAAAGACCACCCTCCTGCACATGCTGAAGGTACGATCCGCCCCGACATCCGCCAGCTTTCCCATATCGATAGATACCACGAGCCTACTGGAGATCAGATGCGCCGATATGGGATCATCTTGGGCTACGATATGGATGGCGTAAACGACTGCTAACAAGGTGATCAGAACGACCGTGTCGCTATCCTCCAGCCTACTCTTCACCCCAGTGAGTATATCCCTTCCGCGGCAAAAAGAGCCCAGTGTCATGGGGGGCTCTGCTCTGCGCACGTGTCCAGAAAGCTAATCCGCCTCCAGCTTCCGAGGAGCTCGCCATCGGCAACGTGCGCTTCACCACCTTCGATCTCGGCGGTCACCAGCAGGCCCGCCGCCTGTGGAAGGACTACTTTCCCGAAGTCAACGGCATCGTCTTCCTCGTCGACGCCAAGGACCACGAGCGGTTCCCCGAGGCAAAGGCCGAGCTCGACGCCCTCTTGTCCATGGAGGAGCTGGCCAAGGTGCCCTTTGTCATCCTCGGCAACAAGATTGACCACCCCGACGCCATCTCGGAGGAGGAGCTCCGTCACCAGCTCGGCATGTACCAGACCACCGGCAAGGGCAAGGTGCCTTTGGAGGGAATCCGACCCATCGAGGTCTTCATGTGCTCCGTTGTCCTTAGACAAGGTGCGTTTTGCTTTCCACGGAAGATGGCAGACACGGGTGCAGGGCAGTTTGGCTAACGTAAGAAACAGGATACGGCGACGGTATCCGGTGGCTCTCGCAGTACGTCTAAACACCGAACCGATAGCTCTGGAAGGAGCTTGCGGGAGGTGTCTACGGCGGGAGCGGAGCAAGTACATGGACGATATGGCAAGAATGGCAATAGGGAACGTCTACGCGGGAACGAAATCATGGGTGCCACGTCTACGAAAGCTCCGGTCAAGTGCTTCAAGGGGGGGCTGTTCAACAGAACTAGGGCTCTTGCCTTTTTGGCGTCTTGCGAAACCTGATATCCTTGGGGGAACAAACGGTTTAGAAAGAGCTGCGTAATGGGCTGACACTGCTGCTATCGGGCATGTTTGCATCGGTCCACACACACACACGGAGGAAGGGAAAAAGTCCTCGGTCTGGCGGTCCAGATGGCTCTGCTCGGTCAGTCAGTACTGTTGGTCGGAGCATCCAGCTTTACGGCCAGAGACGAGGCAATTGTGTACGCTTGTTAGGCTAGAATTCTTTATTGGGGCCCAGGGATTCGGAATCTGGTTTATTTTGCGTCTTTCAAATCGGTAGCCTGCTCTGCGTAGTAGTTTTCCTGCTGCATCAACAACATTGACATCAAGATGATTGGATCATGTAGGAGTATAGCACTGCAAAGGCATCAAATGATTGTGCTGAGCGTATCAAGGGACTTGGCTGTTTGTAATCGAGGCCACCGTGTCCACGTCGTCAAGGTTCCGTTCCGTTAGTGGCGACGGGAAACGGCGGGACGCTTGATGATGGACATGATGCCTTACGTCAGGCCGGAGGAGAAGGAATTGTGGCAATGATGTTCTTAGCATCTCCACAAGCCAGAAGTAGGTAGTTTGTTTCCCCCGAGATCAGCAAACCCGATTATGTATTTCCAAGATTGTTTGGTTCCTATCCATTTGGGCAAGGTAGGTATCACACTGACGTCTCGATGATTCAGTATCTTTGGGGCTTAGTGTAAGGTACATTGGGTAAGTCACCACATGCCAGATTATGTCAGATACTTGTCCATCACAAAGCCACTGCTCCCTTCCCGCTCAGCCTTGCCAGCCATGCATGGACAAAGACATGGTTATGGCGTTTTTTGGTCGAGGGGCCACCGGCGAGGTGAGGTGACATTCCTCCCGAGGGGATTCCGGAGAGGCGGGGACGGCTGAGACGGGAAGCCGGATAGGAACATGAGGGAGAGGGATTGGCGAGCGGCCTTGTGGGATTTGGTTTCAAGGCGCCGAGGATATTCTGACTTGAGTCTTTTATACGGCACTTTTCTTTTGGAAAAATAAGTCGATGCTAGTACTTTTCGTCTATACCATGGCTGTGGTATTAGCTGACGGACGACAAGATGTTGGTGTTCGTCAAGCATGTGGTGGGAGCTAAGGTGACCGTGCTCGCACCGCATCCCGCTAGAGTGGGTGAGTGCCTTAAATCAGGTACAACATCCACTGAAGAAAGTGAAGAAAAGTGACCGGGAGGGGATCGGAGGGGAGGTCGTTGGCCCCTGCCACATCTCACGGTTCAGTAGCCGACTTGGGTTGGGTGGTATCAGTGGGTGGCCAACAGTCCCCAGTGCTCCCTACCTACCTACCTTACCTTACCTCAAGGTACCTCGTACTCCGTACACAGCAAAGGTGCCAGGCGCCCCGAGGTCCCCAACGAAATCCAATTCGAGCTTACTGCCGACGTCATCCGACCCGTGGCATCACGGGCGCGCATTCCCTAGGGAGGTCTGCGCATCTCGAGAGCAACCTGGGAACCGGGTGCCAGAAAGTGGTAGTCTCCCCTGGCCGAGAGTGACAGACCAGACCACCACCCCGAGGCATCTCTACTTCCCTCCCCAACAAATGCACCAAAATCACCCGTCCATCTGCAGATTGCCTTAGCCACATTCTACCTTATCCGACGCTTACATTCTCACGCAACTCTTCACGCAACCACAGCACGCTACACGTACTGCGGCGCATTCACGTACTACCTCGAGGTACCTTGCCGTACCTTACACACCTGCCGCCACTGGAGCTTCCTCTTCATTTCGGAGACCAAATTCACCCCTTCCTCTCCAGGCTCGTCAGCATTCAGCATCGTGTCTCTCTCCCACGCATCGTTTCCCTGAGTAGCTTCACACGTCGACTGCCTTACAACTACTCCTCTCCCTCCTGGTGTGTCGCCATATCATGCGCCTAGACCCGTCAGACGACGCAGCCCGCAGACATGGCTGAGCACCACCAACCCAGAGTTTCGTTTGGCTCCGCGCCGAGCGGCGGCGGCAGCAACACAGACATTTACGGCTTCCCGCCCGAAAACTTCAGCACCGACGGCCTTCCCGAGTTCGACACCAAGTTCCTCAGCGACGCCGACCTCGCCGCCTTCATACAGGCCCTCCAGGCCCCCGACCCCTTGCAGTCGCCCGACGAAACCACGTCTCTCCGGTCCCCCGGCCTCAGGAGTCAGAGCTCGCTCGACGTCACGAAGCGGGGGTCTGTGTACGAAGATGACAGGGAGGATCCGTCGGCCGTCGCCGCGGCGGCGGCTGCTGCTGCCGGCGACGTCACGGCTCCCGGCCCGGGGATGTTGAATCACACCTATACCAATGGCGGCGGCGTTTACAACAACGGCTCAGCGACACAGTCCAACATGTTCATCACGGCGCAGAACGACTGGGCGCCCGTCAACCAAAAGATATCAAAGAGGGGGTCTCGCCGGAGGAGGAACCGGGCCAAGGGAGCCGCCGAGGCGCTCCTGGGCACCAGGACGAAAGACGAGACGCGGGAGGGTATTTTCTATGCGCTCCTCAAGTGGCCGATGCTCTTCTTCGTCGGCGCCTGGCTCGCGGGTCTCGCGCTCACGTACCTGTACACGCGGCTGTACATCTGGGTGTACGAGCACTTTGTGACCTGGCGCGGTACGCGGGAGAGGCTAAGGCGGAGCATGCGCCGGACGAACAACTACCGCGATTGGGTCGTCGCGGCCAAGGAGCTCGACAGCTACCTCGACAGGCAGCGGTGGAAGGAGGAGAACGATTTCGCGTACTACGACTCCAAGACGGTCAAGAGGGTGTGGGACCAGATGCGCAAGTGTAGGCAGAAGGCCGAGGCGGCGGAGAACGGGGAGACGGATGATGAGGGAGCGCAGGCGGATCCTAAGGCGTCAGGGAAGCCTGCTGTTGAGGAGCTTCATGCGCTGCTGTCGGCGTGTGTGAAGAGCAACTTTGTTGGCGTTGAGAATCCTAGGCTGTATAGCCAGACGTATTATGGCACCAAGAACCTGGTGCAGAACTTTATCGACGAAGGTATGTATATGCAATTGTGTCTCAAGGTGTTGGCGGGTTGACTGACTGACTGTGTCCAGTCGAGAGAAGCATCAAGTTCATCCTGAGCACGAAGCAGCTGTCCATGGAGGAGAAGCGTTCCATCTTCAAGGGCATGCACGCAAACTACGGACGGACGGCCCTCTGCCTCTCGGGCGGCGCGTCCTTTGCCTACTACCACTTTGGTGTCATCAAGGCCCTCCTCGAAGCGGACCTGCTCCCGGACGTCATCACCGGCACCAGCGGCGGCGCCCTGGTCGCGGCCCTCGTGGCCACCCGGACAGACGACGAGCTGAGGCAGCTCCTCGTACCCGCACTCGCGCACCGCATCACCGCCTGCCGCGAGACGTTCTGGACCTGGATCCCGCGGTGGTGGAGGACGGGCGCCCGCTTCGACTCGGTCGACTGGGCGAAGCAGTGCAGTTGGTGGACGAGAGGGTCCATGACCTTCCGGGAGGCGTACGAGCGCACCGGCCGCATCCTCAACGTCTCGTGCGTGCCCGCCGACCCGCACTCGCCCACCATCCTCTGCAACTACCTCACCAGCCCGGACTGCGTCATCTGGTCCGCCGTGCTGGCGTCCGCCGCCGTCCCGGGCATTCTGAATCCTGTCGTGCTGATGATGAAGCAGCGCGACGGCACGTTGGTCCCGTACTCGTTCGGCCACAAGTGGAAGGACGGCAGCCTCCGGACCGATATCCCCATTAAAGCCCTCAACCTGCACTTCAACGTCAACTTTACGATTGTCAGCCAGGTCAACCCGCACATCAACCTCTTCTTCTTCTCCTCCCGCGGCTCCGTGGGTCACCCGGTCACGCACCGCAAGGGTAAAGGCTGGCGCGGCGGGTACGTCATGTCGGCCGTAGAACATTACCTCAAGCTCGACATGACGAAGTGGCTCAAGTTCATCCGCCACGCCGAGCTCCTCCCCCGACCTCTGGGCCAGGACTGGTCGCAGCTGTTCTTGCAGACGTTCAGCGGCACAATCACCATCTGGCCCAAGACTGTCCCTTCGGATTTCGTGCATATCCTCTCGGACCCGGACCCGCCGCGGCTGGCGCGCATGATTCACGAGGGTCAGCAGCGCGGGTACCCCATTCTGAAGTTTGTCGGGAATAGACTCAAGATTGAGAGGTTGATTGAGCAAGGGCGTAGGGAGACGAGGCCTTGGATCCGTAGGGGCAGCATCGAGACGATTCTCAGCGAGGACGATTTGCGGAGTCTGCTTATTTCGGGGAATACGGATCTCGAGGATGAGACTACCGACGCTGAGGGGGAGACGTTGTTGGAGAATGAGGATGATAATGAGCAGGCTATTATTGATGACGAGGATGGAGAGGGGGAGTATGAAGAGGAATATGAAGAGGATTACAAGGAGGAGTATGAGGATGAGGACGGGGAGGGTGAGGGTGAGGGTGAAGAGTATAGGGGTGAGGGGAAGATGGATTAGGGGGTGGGGTTCTGGTGAACTAGACTGGAACAGCATCGAATAAAGAGAGCATGGCATGGGTAAGAGTGAGAATCTGGTGGTGTTTACATACTAGTTAAAAGAGAGGCTCTTTCCCATCAAAAGACCTCGAGGAGGGGGGGGGGGGGTGTGTTAGAAAGTGTAGCATAGCTTGGGCGTTGATGGTAAATCCTGATCCTGACGGAAATTACATCCTCTTTTTGGTTCTTATAGATATCGCTCACAACCTTGAGTTTGCTGATGACCGTAGTATAAACCATCTTCATAGCTCTCATGTCACTTAAGGAGGGGTTGACCTAACAGACTAGAATCCTTCCAGTTGTCCGCCCACGAGACATCATAAGTTTGAACGAAAAATATCATTTTTTGAACAAGATGCTGCCTGCACGCCGTATCTCATCTACATGTCATGCCGAACGTCTAGATTCCCAAACACCCGTGATGGCCCGGTGAAAGGCCAATCGAGCAAGGAGAGAAATGCAAGTACTTTCGGTCTATAGGGTATCAAGACGTGCTCCCCCACCCACCTGAATCTAACTACCCTACCCGTAAGCGTGTTAACTTGGCTGTTTGGAAGCCTCTTGTGATGGAGATGTTGCCATCTGACCCGTCTTGTCTTTTGTACGAGTTGTATGTGTTTAATTTGGAGATGCCCGCCCCCGATCTGGCATGGTTTCCAACATTGTGTCTTTTTGAACCGAGGTTCTTGACCCATTCAAAGCCTCGGGGCTTTACAGAGCCGAGACGGTATCCGTGGCGTCGGTTCCGGTCGTCTTCGCGGAAGGAACGTCGTGGGCGACCTTCATGGGCCTGCCCTGGGCCTTTTCGGTCAGGCTGACGAGCTCCTCCAACATCAGGTCTCGGGTCTTGCGGGTGAGCTCGTCGACGTCGGCAGCGGTCAGGCCAGTAGTGGGAATAGGGTCCAAGACTGCGCGACTTGACGTTAGCATGGATTCGGCGCTGGGGGAGGGGCACACATGGACAGCTCGAGCACTTACCCTTGACGGGGATCTTTCCAGAGTTGAAGATGAGGCCCTTGAGGTAGAGGACGTGGCTGTAGTTGGCGACAACGCAGGGTACAATGGGCACACCAGCCTGAACGGCCAGGTGGAAGGCGCCCTTCTTGAAGGGCAGCAATACAGGGTCTTTGGCGTAGCTACGGGTACCCTCAGGGAACATGTACACGCTCTGATTCCTCTTGCGAATCTGCTCAGCGGCGCCGGCCATGGCATCTTTGGCATCCTTTGTGTTCTTGCGGTCGATGAAGATGGAGCCGCTCAGGGTCATGAACCAGCCGAGGATGGGCGTCTTCTTGAGCGAGGCTTTGGCAGTGACGCTGCAGTACTTGGGGAACATGGTGCCCAGCATCAAGACGTCGAGTTCGGTCTGGTGGTTGCCGACAAAGACGGCAGGGCGAGTGTTGTCGAGAATGTGGTTGGGATCGATGACCTCAAAGGTAACGCCTGTGGTGACGGCCATGATGTAGTACAAGAACCGGCCGGTCATCCATTGCGCAATGCCCTGCTCGCCGATGAGCTTCAGGAAGATGGAGGCAAAGACGCCCCAGCCGGCCGCTACGGCGAGCGAGATGTAGGAGGCGAGGACACGAGCGCCAAAGGCGGCCTTGGGAACAACGTAGGACAGCATGTAGAGGGCGACGACGAGGGCGGCATAACCCTTGAAGAAGGAGTATATGTAGCCCAGGAAAGCCGACATGGCTGCTGGCGGTGGTGGGTGCGCGTGGCTGATTAGGAAACGGCGGCAGATGGGCGTGAAAGGAGACAGGCGCGCGGAAGCTTGAGAGAGATTGAGGAAATCGGACTGGGCGTGCGTTAAGCTTCTTTGGGGGGCGCGCCTCGGAACGGCGGGTTGTGTTGAGGAGGGAGCTTTTTTCTGGAGGCGGGGTTGAGGCCGTGGAACGGAGGATCGTCGCAAGGGCGCGGTAAAGCGATGGGATGTTTCTGTCTCGGAGGGAACGATGACAGGCGGCAGTACCAAGGCTGGGAAGAGAAATGGAGAGGGAAGAAAAGAGATGGCAAGGCTACAGCTTCCGCAGACACATGTTCCAGTGGGAAGGATAGGAGCACAAGGTGTCCGTATGGATGCGTGTCTCAGAGAGAAGGTTGGAGGGGAGGAAGTTGAACGGAGAAGGGGACTCGACTCGCAATGACGATGTAAGGGAAATCGGAATTGGTGGGCGCGGACCAAAGACAAGTCAAGAGTCAGCATGCGACAGGTCACAGAACTGCAAGAAGTGGAAACGGGAAGCGCCAAGTGGTGGGATGGGCAACTGGAAGGTCTCCGTATGGTACAGGCAAGGACGGATCGGTAAATTGTACGGATATTGGTGGCATTGGATGGTGCTGCGCTGCACACCGCACTTCAAGCTCTCTGGGTTGGCGGGGAAGGGAGAGAGCGAGAGAGAGGCAACCGTTAATCAACCGAAGTGTGTGGTGACTGTGGTCATGGGTCGCGACTGGGGTCATCAGCATGGCTACTCCCACAAAATACTCTCTAGGTACTAGGTAGGGAAAGGTGTGGGGTTCCCTGTCGGCTCGTCTCCCAGACAAATATTTTTTGGTGGGATGACTTTTTTGGCTTCCGGAGGCTCAAGTCGTTGGGAAACTTGGGGATTCGGGAAGCCGGCGATAGCTAAGGCGGATTGGTCCAAATCGCCGAAATTGTGCCTTATACCTTAAGATAGCAACTTCCTACCTTAAACCATAAACAGTCCCTTGCTTTGCCATGAGGTGAAGAGGTATACCTAGAAAATCCGTGGTCTTTAAGCCACCGTCAACCTCAAGGTACCTACCTTTTTCATGGCTAGGCTTTAGGCGGTTGGGGACGGGACATGTCCAGGACCAGACCGTTATGGACCCTAGACCTGTTTGTCCTTGATCTCCTGTCGGTAGGCCGCTAGCACATGTCATTGTTCCGTCCAACGTCCACCATGTGCTGATTGGGAAGGGCGAACGGCGGACCAGTGGGACACCTGATGAGGGAGGGGGGCCGGCATGGCGGGTAGAGACAGACATGAGATTTTGAAATGAATCCTCCGTATCTACTCTGTAGACTGTACCGCAGCTAGTACCTTGAATGTCTTAGCTTAAGTAAGGCGGCCGCTTGAATGCTGAACCGGCGGTTAAAAGGGTTGGGGAACATCGCGATAGTAGTTCAGGCGGAGTGGTGACTGGCGCGCCTGGCACGTGTAAAGTGTAGAGGCATCTACCGGTATCTAAGTACCTTAAGGTAGGTAGCTCAAGGTGCCTGAACATGTCCAAACTTCTAAGTACGTCTGTTGACTGTCTCCCTGATGTCCCAAAGGCATGTGGAGGTGGGGCAGAGAATGTTCCCCTCCTCCTCCTTCAATGCGGTCACTTTGCGCTGCTTGAGAAAGCATGTGGTCAGAGTCAGGGCCAGCGCTCTTCCCCAGCGATTCAGATTCAGATGCAGATTCAACCCGCTGCTTCTGTCTCTGAGCCCCCTGCCTCCATTAACTGGACACACTCCATGCCTGCCTTACTCCAGTACTTGGGCAAAAGGTAAAGTGTCAAGTGTCTCTTCCAAATCGCTGCCATTCTCTGGACTTTCTCTCATTTTCGAGGTACTTCAACATGACCTTAGACATTCTAAACTTCTCGATGCCGAACTGCCCTTTGTGGATTACCTAAGGTAATAATCTTCGACATGGCGAAAGTGGACGCTGGTCCAAGCTGCTACCGTAGACCAGGGTACCCGTGCATGTCCATGTGGCAGGGGTTCTTATCGATAACGGACAATGATCAAAATGCTGACTAACATCTCTACCCGGTACGTCCGCCTGGGGTCTGTCTGAGCTCCGCGTCGGTACCTGTCGCCCGACGGCGAGGAGTTCGCAACCTTGATCGCACGACATTCGTCAAGCATATCGCACGTAACCGCGGAACTATCTTCGATATTGCCGCCTGTCGCCTGTCGTCTGCCGAAATACTATATACGACAAACTTTCCCGCCAGTGCCGAAACGACCAGCGCCTCGGTCACTGGCGCATCTCCTTGCTGCCATAGAGAGTGACCTTGGGCCTGCTGCCATTCCGACAATGCCCTCTCGCCGAGAACCACCCCCCCTCTCAGTTCGCTTGCCGGCGGGCAATGCGCAACCCGAGCTTCCTCCCATATCCGCCCTTTTCCTCATCGACTTTGACGTGAAAGCTGGCTATACCATTGTTTGGAAACAATCCGCTCCCGGAATCGAACTCGAGGGCCTCGTCGAGTATAAGAGCTTGCCATCCGGTCTGCACACTGTCCCCGACGACTTGATATACTTCGTGCACGAGGGAGAACATGCGGGTCTCAGCGCTTTCATCAACACTCCATGCGATGAGGAGGAGGCGCGACATGCGCGCATGATTGCTGTCGGCGTCTTGGTGCCCCTCAGTTACGGCCGCCTGGGCCGCGCCTGGAGGCATGCCGAAGGATTAAAGGACATTGCATCGTAGGTGTTCGCCCTTTGGAGCAGGACAGGAACATTGTTGCTGACCATGTACCAGAAAATTGGCCCAAGACCGCAAAAACACTAGTCTTCTTGATGACTACTGGGAGAACAACAAGGCCAAAGAAGGAGCGGAACAAGAACGACCACCGATGGAGTCTCCTTCTATCAGCTTCAGCTCTCAAGCCGCTCAACCGAAAAAGTCGAATCATAACCGCAATCGCTCTGCATCAGATGGAGCTTCCCTGCTGCCAACCGGGCATCGACTTTCACCATACCACCCAGCATGGAGCCTGACGACGTTGCTGGACACATTCGGGCCACTCATATTCCCTATCCACAGAGCAGCTCTGCTGAGGAGGCGCATATTAATATCGTGCCATGCGCCGGTACGAGAGATTTGCAACTTTGGTACGTTGACTCGGAACCTATCTTGTAGTCTATCCACTGACACCCTATCAAGTGTACAATATTTCTGTTCTTTCAAATATTCCCCAGACGGTGGCCGAGTTATTGGCCCCGACATCGTCCTCTCAACGTCTGAGACCGCTCTTCACAATTGGAGTCCACGATATCCCCTTCTTGATGGAAGACTTTGAGGCTTCAAAGCGCCGGAAAGTCGATAGCAATGACGACCTGGCGGACGAGGCTGGCTCTGGTTGGGTTGCTTGCACGACTGACAGTATTCTGGCCATGAAGGACACCCTATGGGACATGCTCATCACCATGCCGCCACCGTATGCTCCCAATGCCAAGGAAAAGGCCTGGCCAACTGTGGAATGCCCCCGTGGTACGCCTGTCAAGGCAACACAGCGCGACCTGAGGCGGTTCCGTGCCTTGAAGGCTGGCTTGGCTAGGCTGTCGCCAACGACGCCGAAGCCGATGACGGCTGAGAGCCCCCGATCGGAAACTTCAACGAGTTTCAAGCTGACCACTGGCGCCTTCCCGGCTCCGAGTGTCGAAGGCGACGAAGCTCTGGACAAGATTGTTGAGCCATCAAGCTGGACGGCTTTGGCCTACAGTGGCTTTATGTGGTGGGCGAGCGCCGGCGAACAAGCACGGAGCGAGGAACAAGAGGAGGCGGCCCACGATGCAGCGCTGCTGGCGGACCTGGGTCTAACGCCCCACACTCCGAGCATGTCAAAACCCAATACGAGACCCCGGTCATCGGCATCTGGTGGCATGGCTGACTCGACTGGGTCCCTTGTTTCCCGGCCGGCCGCTGGGTCCGAGATTGATGAAGCAACGACGGAGCTCGCCGTGATTGCGTACTTTCATCGTTTGACAGCGCAAATGCTGACGGTCATGGCTGATGTGGTGGAGAGTTCGGATGATCGCTACGAAGACGAGGACGATGAAGACGACGCCGATGATGTTCCTCTGAGGACCAACGGCGAGTCGGATCGAAGCTCGGTACGAGTTGGCAGCGATGCGCTCGAGAGCATGGGACTCGACGTGTGGAACGCGCACGATGCGGAGTTCGTCAAGGAGCTCATGAGCAAGTACTATGACCGAAGGCCCTATATTGAGGGTAAAGGTGTCGAGGTTTGTGGCGTCCGGGTTTGCTAAGGTTCAGGTTCAGGGTGCTTGCGAGAGCCTCGATCTCGTTGCTTTCTCTCCACTTGTAAACACCATCTCGTCCCTGCCTCTACGGAGGGACGACTTCTTTCAGATATGGCACTCTGGATGGGCGTAATAACAGTGCTGTGTCTCTTTCCGTCTCAAAATTTGTCAAGGGCGTTTGGTCATCACTTTTTCCTACTGGGCGAGCGTGTGGAAACGTCTCTTGTATATGTCATGGACCTTCTAGAAGGCCAACAGAATAGTTTCATCCGATATCAAAGAGCAACTGCTGCAGGGTCCTCTATGCCAATCACAACTCGAGTACATGATTTCGGTGCTCAAATGCCTAGAGACGCGGGCCTGTTCCCGAGGCAACCTTGAAACTACCCCAGAGGAAATTCTACTGCGTAAGTACTGCGTACTCTGTAGAAATCGAAGTGGAATAGGCGGGCAGGAACGAGAACCGCATGGATTGTTAGCGTATGTTTTTAATAGGGCTGACCTGGATCACCCAAGCTGGGGAGCGCACACTGTCAAAATGGTCAAAATGAGGGGTGAGGTGAGGGGCAGTGGGAGAATAGGGGCGGGTGCGGATGTGGTAGTGGGATGTTTGGCTTCTGGATCTTTCTACGATATTACCGAATAGGCTAACTAATAAGTGCCCGAGGCATAATCTAGAAGGTATCACAAACAACAGTTTTCCTGGTCCGGATCAATTGAAGACTTGGCCGATAATTTGCCGGGTTAATACATTTCGGATATAGGTGGTGTATCATAGGTATTGTTGTATTACCTTCTTGGCCGAGCTGGATTTAAGAGGAGAGGAGAGGAATACAGATGGACAGCAAGCCAGGAACCCCGCCCTAGGCGGACTGCCAGCGGAAAGACATGCCATAAAGAAGCTTGGCGCTCCCTTGCAGGCAATGTACAGGGAGGTCCAGTGGGATGTGTTGTGCTTCCTTGGCCCCTCATTGAAATTAGCTTCTCATCTTCAGTCGAGTCCAGTCCGGCCGACAGGCATCAATCAGACTGTGAGGTGTTTAAGATTGTTCGCTGTCCACCTAGCTGTACAGATGCCCACAGACCAAGAGCTGACCCCACTTGTTGTTGTGCACGAGACTCACTGAGGTGCGCACATCAGCGACCGACTTTTGGCCCTGGGGGGTTGCGATTAGAGGAAACTGGCCGAGAGGGACCTACCTAGTAATAGTGACCGGGAAGGAGGAAAAAAAAAAAAGAAAAAAAAAGAGCCCACCGACACCGACAGACACCACCTGCCACCGCCGAGTCTTTCTGTTCTTGCAGTGCTGTGATACCCCCTCAGCCTTGCACCACCACCTTGTCTCTTTCCCTCTCCCGCTCATTTCGCTCCCACACTTGCTCCCTCTTCACCGACCACTTTTGCAAATAACCTAGGCCGACCGACGATCGCTTCGAACACTTGCACACTTCACCTCGCCTGAATTTGCAACTCAACCTCGCCTCGGCACAACAACCCACCAACCCCTCGTCTCCGACCAAAGTACTCCTCGCCTGTGTGTGTACAATCTCCCAACCAACCCGACATCCGCTGCCTCATTCGGTCTGCCTACCTTACGGATACGTTCTACGGATACCTTGCCTCATTACTTATCATCTCTCGATCCGGACCGGGCCATGAGTTCTCGGTAGCTTTCACGTCGCCGCTTTTACCCCAAGCAAGAATGCTGAATGCACAGCTTGGAGGGCTGCCAGGATTATAGCAGCATTTCGATACCGACAGAAAAAAAAAATAAACTAGTCTTCGTCTACGGTTTCTCACAATAACCTTCTCTTGATCACCATTTCTACAACCCGCTACCTCTTTTCGGGGGCAAACACCGTCTTGAACATGGACGCTCAGGTACGTTTGCAGCGCCTCTTTTTGCGATTTACCCTGCTGCTTTCTGGTTGGGCTTGGGCTGCCTCAAAATCGTTGGCCTTGTGCCCCGCCATTCCGACCTCCATCATCACCCCTCCTCCCACCAACGCCTGCTGCCTCCATGGTTTGACCGCCGCTGCCGGCCTTCACTCCGGTGACTCAAGCCCGACCACGGAGACGGGGGCTCTCACGATGGCATCCCCAAGAGCAGAATGGATCTCGTCGCACATGGACCAGAGCTGACCCCACCTGTCGCACAGATTGAGAACGCCGTCGAGGCCGCGTTCAACGTCGGTAGCGACCAAAACCTCAAGCAACAAGCCTTCGACTACCTGAACCAGCTGCGAGCCGACCCCCAAGGCTGGCAGGTCTGCACCACCCTCTTCACCAGATCACAGCGCCCTTCCGAGGTCGTCCGCCTCTTCTGCTTGGAAGTGGTTAATTATGCGATTTACACACAAGGTCTCGACCGCAACAGCCTCTCGTGGCTAAAGGACAACCTCCTCGAATACGTCCGCAACATCTACGGCCAGAACCTGCAAGACCAGGTCGACCCCTCCCACCTGCAGAACAAGCTCTCGCAGACCCTTACTTACCTCTTCGTCTTCCTCTACAACGATGGCTGGGAGTCCTTCATCGACGACTTTTTGGCCATTGCCAGCAGCCCTAATAACACGGCCGGTGTCGTTCTCTACTTGCGAATCATTGGCTCTGTCCACGACGAAATTGCCGACATGCTATTGACGCGCAACAGCAACGACGCGAAACGCAATACCGACTTGAAGGATCAGCTGCGAGAGCGTGACGTCCAGAAGATTGCTCAGTCATGGAAGGACTTGCTGGCGCAGTACTCGGGCCAGAGCGATGTCATTGTTGAGATGATTCTCAAGGTCATTGGCAAATGGATCAGCTGGATGGATATTTCCTTGATTGTCAATCAGGAAATGCTCAACCTCTTGCTTCCTGTCGTTGGACGAACAAATCGATCTGGCAGCGAGGACAAGGTTCGGGACGCCGCCATTGACACTCTCACCGAAATTGTGGGCAAGAAGATGAGGGGCCCTGAGAAGATGGAACTGATTTCGTTCCTCAACCTCCGCGATATCGTGGCTCAGCTCATCGCCAGCGCCCCTCTGAGCGAGCTCAAGTCTACGCCCCAATACGATACCGATCTTGCCGAGGCTGTCGCTAAGCTCGTTAACACCGTCATGGCTGATATTGTGCGCGCGCTCGAGGACGGCCAGGCTAGCGAAGACACCAGAGCCAAGTCCGAGCAACATCTTCACGATTTCCTACCCTTCCTTCTCCGATTCTTCTCTGACGAGTACGACGAGGTTTGCTCGACAGTCATCCCCTCTCTGACCGACCTCCTTACCCTCCTGCGAAAGGTCGGCGCCAACCTGCCTGCTTCTTACAAGGAGATGCTTCCTCCTATTCTTAACGCCATCATTATGAAGATGCGCTACGACGAGACCTCTAACTGGGGCGACGAAGACGAACAAACGGATGAGGCCGAGTTCCAGGAGCTGCGGAAGCGGTTGCAAGTTCTTCAAAAGACTGTTGCTGCTGTAGACCAAGAGCTTTACATCGATGTTCTCAGCAACCTCGTTTCACAGACCTTCACAACGCTTGACCAGCAAGGGTCCCAGATGGACTGGAGAGATTTGGACCTCGCACTCCACGAGATGTATCTGTTTGGCGAACTCGCGCTGCCTAACCAAGGACTGGGCACCAAGAGCCAGCCCTCAAGCACAGCAACAGAACGACTGACCATCATGGTGACCAAGATGGTTGAGTCCGGTAAGTGACTTCCCTTCATATTTACTCGAGCCAAATGCCTAACACTTTTATAGGAATTGCAAACTTCCCCCACCCCGCGATTCTGCTCCAGTACATGGAGATCTGTGTCCGGTACTGGCAAGTGTTTGATGCCCGCCAAGAGTACATCCCCCAAGTCCTCGAGAACTTTGTGCGGCTGGTTCACCACGACCACGTGCGCATCAAGACACGATCTTGGTACCTTTTCCAGAGATTCGTCAAATTTCTCAGAGCCCAGGTCGGCAATGTGGCAGAAACTGTCATCCAATCCATCAGTGACCTCCTGCCGATTAAGGCTGAGGTATCAGAGAGTAACGGAGACGATGACATGTCGTCAGACGAGTCTGATCACTCTGCAGACGCCCTGTTCACAAGCCAGCTTTACTTGTTTGAGGCCATTGGTTGCATTGCGTCGACTGGAAGCACACCTGCAGACAAACAGGCATACTATGCCCGCCTTGTGTTGAATCCTTTGTTCAGTGACATGGAATCCCATCTGCCAAAGGCAAAGGCGAACGATGCCCAGGCCATTCTCCAAATACATCACATCATCCTGGCGCTTGGCCGCCTCGCCCATGGCTTCTCTGACTGGCAGCCCGGCAGCACCTCAGTCCAGAACCGGCCTCCCCCGGACAAGCTTGTGTCTGATGAATTCTCGAGAGCCGCCGAAGCCATCTTGATTGCCCTGAGCGAGTTGAACAACTCCACCGACATTCGCACTGCTTGCCGAGCATCCTTCTCTAAGTTGCTGGGCGTCCTCGGATCCGCTGTGCTGCCGCAGCTTCCTCAGTGGATTGAAGGATTCCTGTCCCAAAGCTCCTCCAAGGATGAGATGGCTATTTTCCTACGACTCCTTGACCAGATTGTCTTTGGCTTCAAAACGGAGATTTATAATGTCTTGAATATGCTTCTCACTCCCCTGCTGCAGAGAATCTTTGCCGGCCTGTCCGAACCAGTCACCGGTACAGACGACGAGATCCAGCTTGGCGAGTTGCGGAGGGAATACCTGTCCTTCCTGCTGGTTATCCTGAACAACGAACTGCAGTCCGTTTTCATCAGCGAGGCCAACCAGGGTTTCTTCGAGTCGCTCATCAACTCTGTCATTACCCTCGGCAGGACTCTCGTAGCAGAGAACATTGGGCCCAGCCGGTTGGCCTTTAGCGTTTTGGCACGCATGGTTGTCGTCTGGGGCGGACCCGACTGCGCAAAGATTGCCGAGAACCCGGAGGCGCCCAGCGGTTCCCCGAATCCGACCATCCCGGGCTTCGACCGCTTCATGATTGACCGATTCCACCCGCTCTGCTGGGAAGTCTTCCAGGACCCCAACTTTAGACCGCACAACGACGCGCAGAGTAAGCAGGTCCTCAATGAGATCGCCGGCCTCGAGCAGGCCATCTACCTCAAGACGGGAGAGATGTTTATCCAGCACCTCCAGTCCTCCCTGTTCCCGCACTTGGGCATCGACGGATCTGACTTTTTGAGGTCCATGTCGACCTCCACGGACAGGAAGGGATTCTCGAGTTACCTACAGGGGCTTCTGAAGAGCCGCAGGTAGATAGAGGGAGATGGGGAGTGGTGTGTAAGGCATGGATGGCAATGGTCAGAAGGGTGTGCAGTAGGAGGGGGCTTGGTATGTTGCGGAAAACGCGTTATTAAAAGCGTATGAATGGAAAGGGGGAGGGTTCATTGGCAGGGGGTGGAAGGGCAATTAGGAATCTTCTCTCTCGCTCTTTCTCTCTTCCCTTCCTTCTCTTATCTTGGCCACTTTTCTTTGTTTAACATATCCACTGGCCGCATCGCCTTGGAGTTTTGAGGGAGGCATTAGAAATGAAACGACACAAATGACAAAAAGAAAGATTATGTTCTCACTCGCCGTGTGTGTTTGCTAGGTAGGGTATCGATGATGTGGGATTTGGGGGTTTGTTGTTGTGTAAATATTGAGTTCCTGGGGTAGTCTGTCTTGTAGTCTTGGTTCTTGTGCTTCTAATCTCCTCTCCTACCTTTCTTTGCAGGTTCTCACGGGTGGAGGTACGAAGAGAGGAAACCAGCAGCGAAAGGCGGGCAAACTTAGCAGATTCCACATTATCCCGTCATGTACTTATTCCCCACTGCTACTCATTCTCAATAAGTCGGGACCTGAGTCAATCCGGCTTCCTCTCTTCTCTTCTCTGAAACACCGTCGAAAGTAAGACGAGAAGCGACCAGCGAAACCCGGTACCACCGGATCGCGAGACGAGATCCCGACGTTCAATTAAGAGGACTTGTATAAGTCCATCACTGGAAACAAATATACAGCCCGTTGGTACTCCAACTCTTGGGAAATCAGAGGCAAATTTCTGCTTGGGTAGTCTTACCCCAGGTGTGCCAAGCTAGATAGATAGTATACGGTATTCAGGATGTAACTGGGCTGAGAATCAAAGCCCATGAATCTGAGCGGCATTTTTATCCTGTCCCTCTATTATTGTTATTGAAGCGAGGTGTTTACCAGGAGTAACATGGGGACATTGAGCAGCCCTGTGCTGCCTTAAGCCTTCATGAGGTTGTGGGAGGGATGGCTAAGTTGCTTATTCTCTTTGTGAGTCTATCAAGAAGGCAGTATGCCTTTCATCTCTTGGTTTGGGTTGAAGGTCATTTCTCGTATAGCAACTCCATAGACATATAAGAAAAAGAGAGAGAGAGAGAGAGAGAGAGAAACTCCTCGATACCGTCTCCCAGCCTCTTCATGATAGTTTCACCTCTTGGGTGGAAGAAGCTGGCCACAGCATGTTCACTAAACCTTTGCAACTGTAATCGTATGAACCGCAACTGCTTGAAAGGACAAGAGACTGTAACTCATCTCACACAAATCATCGTTGAGCGAGCAACTCCCCCAAGCTACGAGTCCATGTACTTCAGGAAGCGTGTTTCAGGCTCACCTTTTGAGCAATACTTAGCCCCTTCCCCCCCTTCTAGATCTCTATAGCGTAGACACTTGGCATCTTGGTACCCTGAATTTAGAAAATCGCAAACTGGTTTTTCCCCCTCCCAAGCGTACGTTTAATCATTCTGGTGTATCGCGTCTTGCTACGTCGACAAATGAGTCGAGGCAAGTCGACGCCTCTAGCCCTCGCCCAATTGATCCCTTCAATTCAGGCCTCTGGGGTGAACAAGGGACCTTGATTCAAGAACTTGAAGCAGTCACAACGCTTTGGTATGTGGCTGTACTGAGATTAAAATACACGACCTTTCGTACAAAGGACCGAGGTGTGATGGAAACTTTGTCTAAAATGAAGACGAGATGATGTACGTGCAGAACCGACTACAATACCCCCGAGCACAAGTTTCCTCGAATTTGGTCGGAAATACTCCGTAGCGCTTGCCTATTTGGCATGACATCTACCCGACCTCAATTAGTAAAGAACACGAACGAGAAACACATATGTATTGTTTGACTCGAAAAACTCTCGGATTTATAAGCATCAGCTATAACGTTACGAGGAAGAAAAGAAAATGGGCCCTCATCCCAAGGCTAGGATGAACCGCGGTTAGTAGGGGAAGGGGGGTTCGGTGGGAACAGGAGGGGTCCGCCGCCCAACTCCCAATTCAACCCCGCTATTCATGTCAACTCACGACCAACTTTCTTCAGCAGACGGACGCGGCCGACCAAGCTTCTCGGCCGTGTTATGGCATAAAGATTGAGACGGCATTCGCGACCCAAAGTCACCACAGCGCTTTCTGGTACATGAGCCCTGAGCGAACGAGTTGTGGTCCATACCGGAAGTTACCCGCTTCCACCATGTCAACATAGCGTCCACCGGCTTAGTAAAAGGATAGATATCGCTTCGTCGAAACTTCGGCTGAAGAACCAGACATTACGACTCAATCCCACCTCACGAGACAGGCCGCACGATGAACCCATCCGCACCCCAAAGAGCGGTGACATGTTCAAACGCCACCAAAAAAGTGACAAAAAGTCCGCAACTTACACACACCCCTGACCGGCCCGCACCGCCTTCGATTGCTTTCGCTGTATCGGTGTATCCCCCCACAAGGCCCGGCACCTAAACTGGGGTACAGGGGGGAGAAAAGAAAAAGACGGCAGCAAAATCCATTGCCCTCCTTTCAAGTTCTAATGCCGAGGCAAATGCCTGCATACCTTCAGCAATGCGTTTTGCCGCAGTGGATTCGATTTCCCAAGGCTTTTGCTCCTCCGTCTCGGACGAGCTGCGCGGCCTGGAGGCGCGGGAGGCCTTTAGCCGTAACCTGATTCTAGGCCCAAGAGAACGGAATTCCCAGCGGGAGGGCCAAGCCAAATCCACACGATGTGCGCAACCCTTTCCGCAACGGAATTCGAATGGGACGGACCACAGATATAGATCCACACGTTTGCTGTCGAAGGGCCCCTCTCCCCGAGTGGTCGGTCGTTCCATATGTAGGGCCTGGCTCGCAAGTAAAGTACAGACTTCTGCATCCCTCTGCAATCATCCAATCGAGTGAATCGTCGAATCGTCGAGCCTGAACCCGTCACGAATAGCATCTTCACCCGTGGAATACGAGTCTGCAGCAGATCAAATACCTACCGAGAGAAAGTCGTCAGCAATTATAACCTTAAGATGACTCCCCGTTATCCTGGCCGACAGGATGTCGACCCGACACCTCTGGCCCAGCCGCTGAGCTTCCCCTTCTCGACGGCCGTCGCTCCGAACCGCCTCATGAAGGGCGCCATGTCAGAGCGTGTGTGCACATGGGATGTCGCCAACCCCTCCAAGCGCGGCGCTCCCACCGAAGAGTTCTTGAACCTCTACCGCAACTGGGGTACCGGCCGCTGGGGCGTCCTCCTCACCGGCAACGTAATGATCGACCCGGCCCACCTCGAGGCACCCGGAAACCCAGCCATCTCCCTTGAGCACCAGCCTGTCGAGGGTGACGAGCGCTTCGAGACTTGGCGCCGCATAGCCGCGGCGGGCAAGGCCGGAGGCTCTCTCCTCCTCGCACAAGTCGGCCACCCGGGACGTCAGGTCGTCAGCGCCATCCAGTCGGACCCTGTCTCCGCCTCGGACGTCCAGCTGGTGACGGACTTTGGGGGCATGACGTTCGCCAAGCCGCATGCGGCGACGTTGGAGGAGATCAAGAAGCTCACGGAAGGCTTCGTGCACTGCGCCGAGTACCTCGAAAAGGCCGGCTTTGACGGCCTTCAGCTCCACGGCGCACACGGCTACCTGATGGCGCAGTTCCTCTCGCAGACAACGAACAAGCGGACAGACGACTACGGCGGTTCGCTACGGAACCGTGCTCGATTCATTACCGACGTCGCCGACTGTATCCGCGCGCGAACAGGTCCCGGGTTCGTTATGGGCATCAAGATCAACAGCGTCGAGTTCCAGGAGTCCGGATTCACGACCGAGGAAGCCTCGGAGCTGTGCCAGCTCTTGGAGGAGCACAAGTTTGACTTTGTCGAGCTGAGCGGCGGAACGTACGAGAGCTCTGGGTGGCACCACAAGAGGGAGAGCACAAGGGCCCGCGAGGCCTTCTTCCTCGACTTCGCGGAGAAGATCGTGCCTCACGTGAGCAAGACCAGGACCTATGTCACGGGCGGCGTCCGCTCGGTCGGTGCCATGGTTGATATCTTGCAAGCTGGGCTCGATGGCGTGGGCATCGGGCGGCCTGCTTGTGCGGAGCCGAGGTTGCCAAAGGACATATTCGAGAAAGGCGTCAAGAGTTGCGTCAAGCCCCTGCTTGACGAACAGGACTTCGGTCTCGGAGTCGCCATGGCGGGATCGCAGATGCTGCAGATGGGCCACAACGAGGAGCCCATGGACCCGTCAGACCAGAAGGCGACAGAAGGCTTGGTGAAGGACCTCACGGCTTGGAAAGCTCGAGTGGCTGAAAGCAAAGGGCAGCTGTACGGGTTCGCCAGGCTGGAGTCGGCTCCCGTGTTCCCGTATGGCGGGAATGCTGCCCCGGCAAGATTGTGATTGGAGTCTCGGTCGTCATCAGTGTCCCGTCGTTGCCTGTTCGTATACGAGAGGGATATCAGAGTTCGTGCTACCGGGTCCTGTCTTGGTTTCTACCGAGACATGGTATGATTGAGCTTGGTGATCTGCTTTGAAGACACGGCGGTGTGTGTAAAGTACCTTACCTATTCAGACGATGTCTCATCAAACCCGCGGATAGGCAAGAGCCAAGGGGCTCTGAGAATAAAAATTCGCTATGGTAAATCGTCAACAAGAAGCCTACCATTCTGAAAACGTCTTGAAACACAGAATGGGCCCTGAGACGCGATTCTAGATGCTATCGAGAACCTTATGACGGAGAAACAGACGTGGACCCCTTGCGTATGGTTCACCTGAGTCTTCCCAAGTGAACCATGGCTCGACAGTGCATAATTTGGTTAGTGACCAGACTTGGGTCTGGAGTATCATGTCCAACTGAGTACGCGGAACCCCGGGGCTTCGACTGGCGTGGAACTGTCTGTAAGCCAGAAGGCTCTCACTCTGTTTCGGTCTCGCTTTACAACCTGGTGCATGTGCTCAAAGAGATACACATGGAGGGTTGAGAAATGTAATAGGTACGGCAGGCCGTTTGATAGTATAGATTGACGTAGACAGAGGGAGAATGGAAGTGTATAAGACACCGCGTACGAGAAGGTTCGCCGCTTGGTCTCTTCGCACCTCCTTTGGTCGTGTAAACCTGAGCAGAACAGAGTAAACAACTCGTAAATCTTGACTCCGTAAGCGCCCCTGAAGTCAGCATACACTACTTAGAGTGTGTATGCAGATTGAAACTCTGAGATCGGTAGCAGTGGCACACACTCGGCTCCCGAACAGCTTTCCTGACAATGACGGTGCTGAGAGCATTACTTCTTCCGGAATTTTGCGGGGTCAGAGGTGGGTTTCGAAAAATTGCCCGAGATTTGCTCTTCGTATGGCCGGACTGCTCCTCTCTTTTTACCTTTCATCCATGAGGAAGCTCGAAGTAGCGTATTGGACGAAATTATAGCGGTAGGGTCGACCTGTGGAGCGAGAACTGGGCCCGATTTCCACTTGCCTAGAAGAGAGATAGACCTTCCACGACTCGAAATAGCATATTGAAACCATCTCGATTTTGAGTTGTCACACCGGTTCCGATGAAGAAGAGGATAGTGATAGGCAACCGGTATGAAGATCCGAGAAGATTGGCTGCATGATCTACGAGTTGATGTGGCGCCGAGCGTCTGGTGAAGCGGAGCGGCATGGTTCATCCGACTCGACAGATCCATGGATGATCGGAAGTTTTGAGAAAACGACCAGATGATTAGCAGGAACAGGTTTCTACTGTTTGTGTTCGTACGCGAGAGAGTTCCACGACACGTTCAATTCGTGAGTGTGACGCTTTCCACCGACAGTCTGGTAAGGAGACAATGTTCTCCATGCGCCAAACATGCTGAGGGACGCCTCTTCTTGCACACTACTGCCCGTCCAGCACATGGCGGCGATGGCGCTCGCCTGGAAATTGCGCTTCCTATTGGAAAGTGGTCATCCTGCCGGCCTAGTGATCGATCAAGTTGCGGGAAAACAAGGTATGGCCCGGTGGCGTGTGGCAGTGTGGCCAAATTGCAGTCGACCTGATGAGGCCGCTGGGGCGCCGGAGGTAGGAAGAGAGTAGCTAGAGCCGAACTCAAGTTTGCAATGGTGTGGCCCCGGTGTGCTCGACCTTGGCCGTGTATGTTCATAGGGTGGCCGCACTGAGTCGCGGCTGATTAAGGTTATCATTGCTCCTTGAATCCAGTCCTGTCAAACAAACCAGTTTTTTTTTGTTTCCAGTGGCCCTCTCGCGGAAAGTAGCCGCGAAGGTTGATATCATGCCCGTAATCAAGCACTTTCGGCCGACCATCGGTCAGTGCCCACTGCGCCGTATAATTCGTAGGTATTCGTACGGATAGAGCAGGGCATATGCGACGTCATAAGGGTTGATGCAGCATGGGAGTGCGGGTTGAGGCAGCATCAGACGATCTTGTGCATCCACCGTGGTGAAACGCGCGAAGGCCAGCTCGTTGGAGCCCTTGGCCTGCGTGCCTGCGTGCCTCGTGGGGCCTGCTGAGATACCACTGATGATAAGCAACAAGGATGTGTCGATTATGCAATTTGCAAAAGGTTGGACTGTCGAGACTCGAGCCAAATCATTCCGTGTAGCCATACCGGGGTATTTGCTCATTGCGTCCAAGAAGCCGTCGCACAATGTCGCTGTTGGGCGTCGCGCAACTCCCATCAAGTGATTGAAGCACGAGCACTCATTCAATAGAAAGAGCCAGTAGCGCCGCGACTTTTGGATGAGGCGGCGTCCAGACACCCCTGCCAAGACATCGTGGCATACAGGTTGTCAGTCGGTGGTGGCTGGTCCAAGGAAGAGAAGGGACGTCGAGGCTAAGCCGGTTCAAGCGGCATTATGAAGTGCCGGGGCGGTCTGCAGAGAGGATTTTGGAGATTAAGATTGGCTTTTTGAGCTTGAAAACACACGGGCAGTGGTCCGTGATTCTGACGTGTTGACAATGCTGATCTGCTGCGTAGCGACGCTGGATGAAGCCGCGGAGATTTTGGGTGACAGTGGACGACCAAGGAGGGACACAGGGATTGACAGGGGAAAAGAGGCTTGGAGATCCAAAGGGGGGCGGTTCGAATGCGACTAGGGTCTGTTTACCCAATGTCCATCCCTGTAGGCCTTACTGCGTACATATCGCCTGTCGATTCTCGAGTCGGTATCCGTATTTCGAGTCCTTTGTGAGGGCCTGCTTTGGAGTCTGGCGTTCCCGACTCCCGCGGCTCCGTACATGTTGTGTATGCTGTGTGAGTGATCTAATGTCGTGGACTGTGGGCCGTGGTGTGGTTGTGTTGGGTGACAGTATTCTCCTCTTTGAAAAATACGGGGATGATTTGCCGTGTGGCCCACTGAATAGCGATGGATACTCTCAAAGTGGCTCTCCTTTGAGTGACAGCCATCACCAGGAAATTAGACCGCCATGGAGCTGGAGGGGAGTTGTTCGTGGAAGGGAAAAAGATTGACGAGTCCAAGACTGAAAAGGGGAAGTTGTGAACATCATTTGCGCTTTCTGATCTTACAAGTACGTACCTGTCAGCGATGAACCCAGCACGTGCCGGGTACGTATTTACCAAATCTGTACGTACTCGGGTGGAAAGGACGTTGAAATGTTTTGGGAAACAAAAATGCCCACAGCTTCCGCAGATTGTTCCTGCATTAGTTCAAGAAACCAGACGTTTGTGCTACTCCCTCTAGTTATGCCTACTTTGTGCAACTACCTTATACTATACTATGTACAGTACCTTACCCCTGGCTAAAATGTCAGACTTTCTTTCCAAAATGTTCAGGGTCAATTAACAAAGGGTGAGGGGCAAAGCACAGGCGCAGGCCACAGGGCACAAGGCACAACAAGGCTTTGCCAAGGGAAACCGGTACCCCTGTCTTCTGGCCCGAGGATGTCTCTTTCTCTCCTCTTTTGGCGGAGAACCCTGTTCCTCGTCTTCTCTCTGTGTTGTTGGCGTCTCTTTCTCTCTTCTCTTCAATTCTCTGTCCTGTCCAGGCTCTACCATGGCAGTGTCACTGTCTTCTGCCGCTGACGCTGACGCTGCTGCACCCGTCATCGAATCCTCCCCCCTTTGGTGAGATGATCGTCCTTCACCTCCACATTTCGGTGCATTCCCGCTACCCATCATCTCTCTCAGCTGGGCGGCCTCGCTGCCTCAGCACTCAGCTCTCCCGCTCCTTTGTGCCATTTAGCTCTGAATAATCTCAAGGCGACTAATGCCGCGGGATGTCTCTCCCTACGGAACATTCTCTCTCCCTATCTAAGGATATGAAGTCGGTCTTCTGGTTTCAACCACAGCAACGTGGTCTCGCTCGCTCCCGCATTCCTCAGGCAAACCTTTTCTTAACCTCCTCTTCCTCCGATCTCTCGTCTCACTCTCACCCGTGCTGCCCTGGCTGCATCTCGGAGACTGACGACCACTTTGTCCAGCCGACGAGACAGGGTAAGGCGAGGCGACTGAGCGAAATAACGACGGCCTGGATCTGCGAGACTACGGCCACTCAGTCACTCAAGTACCGAGTACGGCAGCAAAGGCTTCGCCTCGCACAGCTTCACACCTTTGCCAGCTGTACCACGTACAAAGTGTCACCGAACCATCCACTTGCCCAATCAGACATTCTATCCCTGTGACCACGAAATGTACCACTTTTTGGCTCGCTTTCAAACATTGTTCCATGGTCCTTGATTCATTGACTCGTGCTGGGCAACCTTGCCTCCCAGGATCCTCGGGATCAGAGGAGGCACAGAGCGTTGACCAACTCTCAAGAGGGCCCGAGATTGGCGAACCCGACCATGAACAGCCACTTGTACTCTTTCACTCTTTTCACCGCCAGTGTACAAACGCTCATATGGTTGATAGCCATTCACCCATTGACAGAGTGTCCAGCTGGACGTTCAATAGACGCCCAGCACCTGTCATATGGTGCTAGCGTCAGCGGCTTTTCTCCTGCAAGTGTGTGTGTGGATGTCTGCCTCTTTCCTCTCATTCTCTCCTTTTCGTTGGCGCAAGTGGTCAGCGTACAATAAGTCGAGAGCGAGATTGCTGTGCTTCATTGCTCAACACGAACGGGGAAATTGAAAGAGGCGCCAGAGATCCAATGAAGCTTAACGGGGCCGGCGCACAACTCCAGCGGCTACCATTAAGCAATGGCGCCCTATCCGGTCGTGTTCTCGACCCTCAATAAGCGCTCACAACTCATCTCTCTCTCCTGACCATGGGCTCCCACAGGCTACAGCCATGCGAGAGACCACATACTGCAGTCCAGCAAATAAGGTGGCAACGGCGTTTTCCCTCACGTTCTGCCACTAATGTAGCGCTATGCAGATGGGATCTAACCCCGGCCTAGAGTCCCAGCGGAAAGGCCGGGGTGAAAAACAAGGGTTCGTTGGCCGGCCTGGTCTGTACGGGCCAATTCGCCCAGGTGCTCTTTTGGTGCCATCCAACCTCTCCACCAAACCCCTGGATTAGCGTTCATGGGGCCGGATGTTAGCAGGCGTCGTGTAATTTCCCACCCTGTGTGCCTCGTTCCATGTCGCTCACTCACTCTCACTTGCTGCTGCCGTTCATGGGCGTTGTTGGCGGAGTGCCTAGCGGAGGAAACGGGAGGGGACCTGACTGACTCTCTCACTCTCACACACACACCTTGTTCTCACTCTCATTCTCACTCGCCCATTCATACCGGGGAGAGGGGCCGTTTGAGTAAAGGACTCGCACTTGTCCAACATGGCCTATTAATATGCTGCCGTCCTCCCCATCTGCCTTCAAACCTCTTCTTTTCCTTCCCTCTTCAGCCAAACAAGCCTCATCAATCTCAAGCATCCGCTTTTGACTCAACTTTGACTTCGGTCGTCCATTCTTTACCAAAGCTCTCTGCTTCAAAACACTCGCTCTCTTAATCCAACAAAACCAACAACTTCGTTTTCACGAAAAACCCAACCCCCAATAACTCTATTCAAAATGCGTTACGCTGCTGTCGCCCTTGCCGTCGCTGGTGCCGTCATGGCCACCGCTGACGAGCCCGCCTCCACCGTCTTCTCCACCAAGTACTTCACCATCACCTCCTGCGCTCCCGAGGTCACCAACTGCCCTGCCCGCAGCACCGTCGTCTCCTCCAGCGTCGTGGCCGTTCCCACCACCCCCGCCGTCTCCGTCACCGAGTCCGGCGTCAAGCCCACCGCCACCGCTCCCGTCGTCGTCGTTCCTCCCCCCTCCGGCGGCAACAGCACCGCTCCCCCCTCCGTCCCCGCGGTCCCCAAGCCCACCACCGAGAGCGGTGCTAAGCCCGTCCCCGTCACCACCGGCGGCGTTGCTCCCTCCGTCTCTGCCCCCGCCACCCTGGCTACCAGCGCCGCTGCCTCCGTCTGCGGTGGAAGCTCCGTCAAGACCATCTCTACCAGCGTCACCACCGTCATCCCCACTGTCATCTACGAGACCGTCCAGATCCCTTGCCCTACCCCCAGCAAGCCCTCTGCGACCATCCCTGGTGTCCCTACCGGTGGCAACGGAACGTGAGTACTATCCCAATATCAAAGATGAAGACAAAAATCCAAGATGCTAACTTTCCGAATCAGTGCTGTTCCCCCCACCAAGACTCCCGTCACTGCCGGTGCCGCTGGTCTGACCGGCTCCGCCATCCTGGCCGCCGTCGCCGGTGTTGCCGCCTTCGCCTTCGCATAAATTCCTTGTTCTTCTGGACATCTCTTCTGAGGAAAAGCCAACCAAGGCTACGGCAGTTTACGATCAAATTTAACGGGTGTTCTCTTTTTTGCTGGGGAGTCTTAAGAGGAAATGTAAAAAAGAGCCCATTCTTCTCTTTGTACATTGTATCTTAACGGAATGCAAAAAACAAATACCATTTGTACCTAATCTTCTAATTGTATTTGGGGGACGTATGGGATGAGCGCAGATGAAAGTCACCTTGCGATTGAGACATCGAGCGCGAGGGACTTTGATTTGGCTTACTCCCGACGACCTGGCTTTAACGACGAAGTGTTTGGGGAAAACATATCTTTACCAAGAGTGATTATTCGCAACGTGACATTGGCTGCTCAGAACGGTTGGCGAGGGTGATATTGAAGACGGGGTGAAGTGATGTTCCTCAAGTGAGGTGACATCCGCCCTACAGCGACCTTCCCCGGACTTTTTTCAAAACGCCTCACAATTGGGAAATTGGACGGCAACTATCCGCATTGATCATCATCCTTCCCCGTCTGCGGACGACTCCGACGGCACCGAGATTCATCAGCTCATACCATCTTATCCGTACGGTACGAATATATCGAATCGAGATAACCATCATCAGACAAAATAAGCAACCAATCGAAACGAAATCGAACGAACCACTGTCACTTCGGATGACTTTTTTGTCGGCCAAGACTTGAGGACGTGGAAGGTCTATGCAAGGAACAAGGGGGATCGGCCCTGTCAAATGATCTCAACCACGCTCCCCCTGGGCCCTCCTCACACCTCTCACCATCTCACCTTCTCAGTGTGTGTGTCTCTCTCGCACAGGCACAGGCACAAGTACAGGGGTCGCAAAAGAACAACGGCCCTCACGGTTTACCCCACAAGATCAACTTTGAGGGACTTTCGGGAGATTACGATTTGGACGAACGGGTGGCCGCGATTGGTCGGACGGCACCCTGGTCGCAATTTGGACGAAACGCTCGGCTCCGCCCAATGGGATGAACGGCTTCCCCGACGACTCTCTCTCCCGCTCTTTGGCTGCAAGCCTGCACAATTGTTCTGGTTTCTTTTCGTTATGCACATCAGAGCAGAACCTGCGGTCAAGGTTCACTGAGGGAACGGCGAAGATGAGAAGAGGGGAGGGGGCGATTACACCACATCCCATCCCATCCATGCGCTGGGGGACGTTTTGGAAGAGTTCAGCCTGGCGCACGCCAGAAAAGGAAGGCGAATTTATGAGAAAGAGCCTGGATGTTCTGGACCGTATCCCATGATCCCATTCATCACCTCCCAAGGATGCGAGGCGCAGTTCCGCCTTTCATTTCGGAGGTTATTTTCTATCCTTCTTTTTTTGGTCATTTTGGAACGTTGGAGAACTTGTGGGTTCCCCTTCCTCGTTCATGCAAAGCTGCAAATCTCCCACTTCCGCCTTTTGTCATGCTGCGGGTATCTGTACTTTATGATGTATTCGTACGGATACCTCTGCGGATCGTCGGATACGTCGTTTCTGTAATGTTCCCGGGAGTCTGGGGAGATGAAATGAATAGGTTTTTGGGTGAGCTGTGGGGGACCATTTCTCGGTCTCTTCCGAGATGGGGGGGCTTCGTTTCCATTGATCGACAGTGTCGGCCTTTTGTTTGTCGTTGCTTCGATGCTGGCTGGCCGTGGGTTACTGTCGGTGATTTTGGTCATCGGATGATTTGTGTTTGGTGTCTTGCAGTCTCCGGCTGCCATTTGACAGCTCACTATCGTCATCACATTGCTAAGCTGTGAAGCAATGGGAGGCCTCAGTTTGGAGGGCCTTTCTTTCTTCTTTCTTGGGCTCGGACTTTGACGATCGAGGTGTTATGCCATCGTGGGTCGAGAGTCGCTTTTCGTTGTTTGTCTATTTCGACAGCTCCATCCAGCCATCCTCTGATCCTCCCCTCAAGTCTTCATTTCAAAACGCAAAGATGATGGTTAGAAGGACAATCTTTCTCCGTCATCTCTCCCATGGTCCAAGGTGGCATCCCAGTAGCTCTAATTGCTGCTCAACTGCATCAAATCCTAGGTGTAGTCGCCTAAGCAGATATCAAGGTGATACCTTGTAGGGAAGACGACCGACATTGGTTCCGGGAATGAATGGCAGTTGCCCTCCGCAGCCGTATCGAAAGAAACGACCCCCTAGCCTTTTCAACTAGCCACAATTGACGATGCGGAAATCAGCGGTACTTTGTGTCTCACACGATCGGGCGATTTCGAAAGTGTGAAGTCCATAATCATGTCATCCCTCGATTCAGCGTCAAAGTCAGTAACGCAACATACGGCGCAGGATTGTTTCGGCGTCACATCATGGATCAATGACTGCAAAGTTCCTCCCCTTTCAGCCCGGGCGGCAAACACGACACCGCTTTTCACCGTCCCCTCCTCTGGGAACAATAAAATAGTCCGCCGGTGCCGCAATGCGGCGTACGGTTGACCAGCGAGCGGGCAAGACGGCCGCTGAAGCAAGATTGATAACCTATTACAAGAAGGGGCTGTCACTCAGTTGACCTATTCTCCTTTGATTCATTCGTATGCTAGACCGCTGGCATCGGTGTCGATTCGTCGCCATTTTGGACCTCAAGAATTACCACGTGAAGAGACCATCGATCGCTGAGCGACCCCTTTAGCTCATTAGAGTCAATGTGAAGAGAGTGTCTTCCCGAAGAATGTCATGCGAAACGTTTTGGTCAAGTGTCTCAGGCGAAGAGGGTTCTACTTCCTGATTGCCGAGTTCGAATAGAAACAATTTTCAATTGCAAGCCTCTTTTAACAATCAACTTCAAACCGTGGCCTAAGAACATCTGAATCGTCAACCTCTGCGGCCTCTCGAAATTGGAAAGGGATGTTTGAAGTAAATCTCACTTTTATTCTTAGACATGGTCGCTCTTCTTCAAAAACAAGAAAACTTTGACAGAATGGACTTGTTTGATGTAGAATACCATTCCACCCAGCAGGGCTGCGGTTTGGGCCAAACGACTCGCGACCCATGTCTGCCAAGTCCATTTACAGTGCTGGGCCTAAGGATAGTTTCAGCCTCAAAGGCTGTGAATGTGCATATCTGTCGCGTTGTATGGCCATTGTACAACATAAGTGCCGACTTATTCGCAGTAACGCTAGATTATCATTCTCAGGAGGCGACAATACTCTTGTTTTGCAAATGTTTAGTTTCAAGTGTACTCGGAAGTTGTGTCGTTCAAGTAGCGCCTGTTTTCTTCCCCCGCTTCCCACCCTCTGATTCATTTCTCTCGGCTACGTCCGATGCTTGCGCCAAGGGTTCGTCTTTCGTATTGAGCACGGCCAAGGTCAAGAGCTATGTAGGGTATTGCGTATAAGTGGAATTCAATGTCGCACAGCCAAGTTTGGTTTGTATGCGAAAGTGCGGTGGGGAAGCTGGCATTGCTTGCTTTTCCACCTGAGCAAGACCACGTAACTTACACCGCCGTCTCCTTAAGCCATTCGCTTTACTTCAACTTTCAGAAATTCCTGAAGCTATTCACATAATCTGCGCCATAGCGATGAATTGCTACAGTGTCATTCGAAAAGGGATTAAACGTTGGTGCCCAGAACGATGTCAGAGATGGCTGCTTAAACGACAGCCTCCGACCAAAAGCAGTTGTTTGTGGAGAACCTTGCCGCTTCGGAGACGGCTCCACTTACGTTGGTCCGGGACGGCGATTCGAACACGGGCCGAGAGGGGGTGCTCGACCGTCGGCCCCCTATGCAATGAGGGTCCACTTTGCGGCCGTCAACATAATGTACCTGGCCGCATCAGACGACCCCAACCGGCACCTTGCAGCTGCCAGGTGGTTGGTTGTTCTTCGTCATCATGTACGGCATCCCGAAGAACGAAAGAGCGAGGTGGTCTGCAGTTACATTTCTTCAAGGGACCGGATTCTCACCTCGACGAAGCCGTTGGCAATTATCCAATAGACAAGGTTCCACGTCCATTTTTCTTTATTGAAGTCGGCAGTTGGCTAGGATTGAATCTCAGGTAGACGCTACACTTTTGTTGGCTTTGATGGCGCGATTCGACCGTTCCTCGATCGAGCCTTGGCGTTCGGCGTCAAACAGAGAATCGGAGCTCACGTTGCCAACGGCCCAATCCAATGCCGATGCCGACTCCGAGCGCTGGGGCCCGACAGACGGAGGCAGATGGCTGAGCCGACAGCAAAGAGCGCAACAAGTCCAAAGATCATCCACTTCAGGTACTTGGTATCGTCAGCGACCAAAAATCAGCCAAGAGTCTTCAGCCTTGATACCTTCATCGTCGATGACACGTTGACTCTTCAGGCCTCTTAACTTCATCAGCAAGGTAGGAATGCAGGCAAGGTAGTATGCAAGCGCCCCAGCCCTACAGCCTCGAAATCATCCGACGTCCGTTATCAGAACCGCCAACCTGGAAAGCCACGCACATCATCCCATCACCATCGTCATCGAAATCAAGGTAGATAAACCTGTCATCCCGTCTTACTGGAACGGACGTTTAGTCTACCTTAGCCCGGGAAGGTCTCCACTCATTCCGCTCGCACTCGGCACGCACAGACCAAGCGTGTCCTACCTCCGACCGCCGATTTCTCCACTTATATTCTTTCCTTCTTCCACTGAGCTGAGAGATTGGAGCTCTAGGCCGGCCCCACTCCCGCACTCGCTTAATTCCAGCTAAGCAAGCTAAGACAACCAAACAGCCAAACCCGCGATGATCGATGCCCAGCCAGGCGTGCCAGACAACCAGCCAAGCCTCTCTTCTTACCTCCGTCCGCCGTTCCCTCTCCTCGTTGCCGGGTGTGAAGCCTGATATGGAGTCACAGAGGGTAGGTACACCAAGAAACGGGGAACTGAAAACTGCCCTATGCCGTTTGCGCCATCCAACCAGGGTCTCTGGAATCAGCCTCCTGTTTGATTCTCCGTCCACATCGACCATCATCCTCCCTTGGCAGCCTACCTAGTCAAGCCACCCGCCCGATGCGAGATGTCTCTACCCTCCCGTCGATGCGGATGCGAGAGAAATCTCAGGCGCCGCCATTCCCATTCCCCCACGTCTAAGCCTCTCTTTCTTCCTTTTCCTCCACTCTAGCCTACATGAGCTTATTCCTGATCACTCCAAAGTCTAAGAGAATGCGAGAGAGGAGCCTTGTTCCTGGTATCCGGTCACTAGTGACTGGTGACGACTTATCCTGCTCGTTCGTTCACGGTTGGGTCTCCCGCTCAGCCCAGTAGCCCGGTCTAGCGAAGTAGAGCGAAATGAGAGAAACCCTTACTCCCTATCGAGAAATGTCTCTCTCCCTGCAGATAAAGCGTATATATCATCTATCCTCTTTCCCCGTGCTCGAAATGAAAGGTGCGATGTTTGCTTGTTGGTTCCCAAACTACCTCACCTTAGCCAGGCCCGAGCTCGAACAATCCGACTGTTTAAGACATCCCCTTAACTCCTCTGGCACGTAAACACGACGAGACAAGAAAAGGAGCTTGACAACCACCTCGACTATTTCTCACACGCACCTCTTCTTCTCTATTTCTTCCCTCGCCTGCATAGCAGAAGAAGCTCGAATCACCGAAAACGAAAAGAAAACTCACCATCAACACAATGGCCGGCCCCCCGCCCCCTCTCCCGCCGTATATCGTAACCTTCGGCCCCAAGTCGAACTGCACCCTCGACATCTGCCCGCTCGAGTACAGCCTGTACAAGTACCGCCCCAACCTGGCCGTCAACATCCTCTTCCTCGCCCTCTTCGCCCTCGCCGGCGCCGTCCACGTCTTCCTCGGCATCAAGTGGCGCCAGTGGTGGTTCATGGCCTTCATGCTCGCCGGCTGCCTCAGCGAAATTGTCGGCTACGTGGGCCGCATCGTCATGTACAAGAACCCCTTCGAGTTCATCGCCTTCATGCTCCAGATCGTCTTCATCACCAGCGGGCCAGTCTACTACACCGCCGCCATCTATGTTACCATTTCAAAGGCGTAAGTTATGTTTTCTTTGTTATTCTCAGTTCTTGGGGCTCTTGCTCAGGTTTCGCTCTCATTGCTTTTTCTTTTCTGGACTTTCTTTTTCTTTTTCACCCCGTGAGGGCTTATTGACAGCTGTCTCATCGTCGTAAACCCCCTTACCTCCCTACACCGCACGTCACAATCTAAGATCATGCGCATCTGAATCGTCTCTCTCTCTCCCGGCCGAAAAGCAAAACATAGCAGGGGTCCGGCCCCGATATAGCATCACATTTCACTCAACCTCAGATGGAAAACACAACCCAGAAACTGACTCGTCCTTGTCTCACAAACAGCATCGAATCCTTCGCCCCAGAGCTCTCCCGCATCCCCACAAAGTACATCTACTGGCTCTTCATCTCCTTTGACGTCTTCTGCCTCGTCCTCCAGGCCGCCGGCGGCGCCCTGAGCACCACCTCCTCGGGTAGCTCCGACGTGGGCGTCGACCTCGCCATGGCCGGCCTCGTCATCCAGGTCATCGTCCTCGTCGCCTTTTGCTCGCTGTTCGCCGATTACATGATCCGCTACACGCGGTCCGACGTCGCGCGGGCGCTGACGCGTCGCGAAAAGACGTTTTTCGGGTTCCTGGCGCTGGCGGTCGTGCTGATCCTCGCGCGGTGCGCGTACCGCGTCGACGAGCTGAGTGAGGGGTATTCTAATTCTGACAAGATTACGAATGAGGGGTTGTTTATTGGGTTGGAGGGAGTGTAAGTTTTGCTCCCCCTATTGAAGCTGGTATCTGATGGGCTTTCATACTGACATGTCCTTGTTTAGCCTCATTATTTGTGCAGTCTTTGCGTTGTGCCTTGGACACCCCGGCCTTCTGTTTGGCAAGCCCAAGGCTTCGAACGGTGTGAGAAAGGAGTCGAGTGTAGAGAGCGGCACCGAGAGTGCTGCGGCTGAGGTGGAGCGCAAGTGATTTCAGATACCATTCTGCAGAGCGGGACTCGATTTAGCAGTGTATTTTCTCTTTGCGTTCTTCATTATCGTTCATGAGCGGACATCGAAGCGCAGCTCTGTTGCTCTCACCTTGGTTAGTTTTGGGTTTCCTAAGGCATTAGAAGCGGTATCAGTATGACATGAACACATAGACATGGCGATTAACGACACTAAAGAACCTTGGATCATATCCAAAAAGATCGAAAAATGAACCAGTCCAATTCATTGAGAGTGCCATGTCCCAGTGATGTAGCCGTCAGTAAACTTGCATGTACAAAACAGTACAGTGTCAGCGGCCAAGCACCTTCTCCTGGTTCGTGCCGTCGGACCGGTTTGCTGCTCCTATTTAAGAGCAGCTGGTTCTTGCTCATTGCTGCGATCTTGTGGTCACCAGAAACCCGTCATTGTTCTTTGTCATGGTGCTTGGCTGTGTGGTTTTCAGTATCAAGAGCCGGCGTCGTTAAAGGTCCTACAGGTAATAGCATCTTGTTCCCATTGGTCATGTTCAGGCAGACTAGAAGCACCCGCTGTACAGTTTCTTCGTGGCCTACGTATTTCAACAGGAATAAGTGTTGAAATGAGATTGCTAGTGGGGATCAGTAGTTGCAAGACTGGCCGGCACTGGAAAGTCGATTTTCCCTCATTTTTCTACCACTCTCTCCAACATCAGACCAGGACTTCGGGCTTCAAATATCCAATTAAACCATCGGAACATTAGCTGATATGGAGGATAGAATAACATAGTTAAAGGACTTTTTTATACATAGACATTGCTTCGTAAATACCCTAATGGAAAACAAACGCATGCAGCTAACGGATCATGCAATCGACCTTTTGCCGGGAGCGCGCGATCTCAGCTATAACTGCTGTATGAGCAAATTTCGAAAAGTGGTTGCTACCCCAACTCATCCTTTTGACTCAAGTGAACCTCACCTAGGAGCTCTGTCCTGAGCCGAACATATTCGGGCTTAAATCACTAATCTTGGGCCGGCGCCGTTGAAACCTTCCATTCCAGAAAAGGCACCAGGAGTCTAATTGAATGTTTAGTTTCTTTATCTGCTAGCAAAGACACTCCGTTACATTTAACTTGCTGGTATCTAGTTATTGATAGAGTTTCAACATTCGCGAGTGAACTTTCAAATACACGTCAAGCTCATCTACTCCACTAACACAGATCTTATCGACGACCTTATATACGGCAGCTATCCATGCCCTGCACCCGAAAACCCTTGTTAAGAAGACTAATACTGACAGTCGACCAAACATACACCCATACCTGCATTGAGACCCCGGTACCTATGTTCAGGCACCGGATGTAACCGGCGAACCCCCCTCCCCCCTTCGGCCAACTATGCCTGAAACGGCTTTAACAGGCTCTTGTCTCTCGTACTGTTCGAGGGGTAAGTGCCAGTATTCGATGGGGTCGGAAGACCCCAGCGAGCTGTCATTGTCATGTCGTGGTCAGCGGCGGACAAGTCAACCATAGCGCTCGACTGAACATCGCATGACGCTGTGAGTGATATCTCTACTTCAAGAAAGTGGTCCACACCCTGTATCAACTTTCCCTGCGTATTCTTTAACGTATATATGCTAGAGAGTGACTGACTGACAGTTAGGTTACTATGCTCTTTAGCTTGAAAAGACGTTTAATAGCCTGTCTAATAATAATCGATTGTGTTATCTGGATTTCGGTATTAGTGTCGTGCCTTAAGAAGGATAAATGAGATAGATCCATGTCGATTGTTCTACGTTACACGGTCTCGACTACTTGTATACTCCTATGACTGGGGAAAAAGAAATCTCTAACTGTCTTATCCTCCTTTATCTTCTCTCTACCGTCTCAAGCTGTATAGGAGCTATAAAGGTGTACTCATTTCTACACCCATGCCTCGCACAACGCATTGGACACGCATAAAGACGGGCAATTCAAATAAATTTCAGTGTACGATAAGTCCTCATAGCGAATGATTAACAGACCGAAAATGCTGAGGTGAAGGTCTTTCTTCATGGGTACAGAATAGAATATAGACTGCTCGTTATTGATACTCTGAAAACGTTCCTCTCCGATCCGCTAAATAACAACCTTCTTGGAGCACTCATGTCTAGAATATTCAAGGCGTACTGTAGAAAAGATCGGAAATTGATTTGATCGCTCTACACTCCGTCTCTGGGGTTTCCCGCCGAAGCGCAGAACGTAAGTGACCTACAAGCGGAAGAGCTGAGAACTTCACTACGACATCCAGAGCGACGGCCGTGAGATTGCCCAGTAGTCGCGAAGATTTTCTCGGACTTTATTTTCAGCACGAACTCGTTGTCTCGCCGGCTTGATGACCGATATTCTGACAACAACGGTCTACGTCAATAGGACAGTTCCCTGTTCGGATCCCATTTAGACATACTTTCATGCCTCTACGACTGGGAAGCGCAATGACTCTCAGGATACCACGGCACACTGGGAAATGACCCTTTCACTTTGGCGCGTTCACGCCTAACGCCGTCGGAGAGTTTTGAAAAGAGGAACTGTTAGACGCATGCTCGAGCTACATTCTCGTACTTTACTTTCTGCGACCAAATCGACAAGTAGCCGGACCTCCCCGGCCTCCTTCGTGATATCGTCGGTTCCGCTATATATATAATGCCTCATGAGGCTTTGTGCTTTTTGAGATTGAGCACACTTGTTACCTGCAAGGCGAAGACGATGTAATCTATCGCGATGCATGGCGCCCCAGCGGCCTCGTCTTTTCCGTCTTTATCGTGAACAATGTAAAGGGGTATGGAAAGCGCTGCATGCAAAAAATAATAATAATACAGCAGACAGCGTCACCGCCGCCATCTCAAAGCTCCATTACATGGGTGATTATTCATACTGAAATACGAAAAAGACGGGAATCATGGAGATATGACAGCTAGGATCTCGATTTCTGAACCCCTAGTGTTCCAACGCAACGTATATGTCGTGCGGACTTGAGCCTAATACGAGTAATCTCACCCGCTCATTAAACAACGGAAGATGGCAGCCAACATGCTGAACCCTGCTCAACGCGAGATGATCCTACTTCTTTTATACCCGCAATCGAATGCTCACCTTGACCTCCGGCAAGCCAAAGGAAGATCTTGCCATTAGATGCTGGCTGAGTGTCCGCCAATGAGACGACGTAGGTGTGTCTAGTTCCATCAATGAATGAAAGAGAGCGCCTGCGTGGCTGCGAAATCATACCGCGATTTCCCATACACTTCCTCAACAGCCCACCTACCGAGAAGCGACATGCCGGACCACAAAAGAGAACAACACTATGCCTAAACCAAGCAGCCAGAGACTTGGTAACAAGACACCGCTCACCCGAATAACATGGGCCAAAATGACCTCTCCACTTCTTGCTATATTTACCGTGGACCGCATCTGACCTTCAGAACCTAGCTCCCCTACCCATCGAAGTAGTAACCCAAACGCCTTATGCCAACCAACGTACCCCTACCTCAAGGAAAACCCCGCTCACAAAACACAATTAAAAACAGCCAACCTTTAGCATACTATCTTTCTCATTGCCTCGAATCGCCTATTTCACCTTTATCTAATGAGCCTCATTCCCAAACATCGCGTCGATCGCGCCGAGCCAAGCGCCGATCCCCGAGAAACTGGAACGGCCCCACTCAGACCCCGTACCCGCGCCGAACACGGCCCCACCAAAACCTCCAGCAAGCCCCCGCTCCCCCTCACTTCCGCCTCCCCCGCACCGTTCCCGCCCCGGGGACAAATCCACCTCCCAACCCCGACTGGCCGAAAGACAATTCCCAATATCGTCATCTCATAAAGTCACATCCAACATCAATGAACCTCATCGCAGCCAAATCTATACGTTCAAGCTTAAGTCACTTCTCATCATGCAAATCAATTGAGGCAACTTCTTCGATAATGCAGACAAAAAAAAAAGATTGTTTTGGCTTCGCCGGCATTTCAGCTCAAGCTCAAGTTCTAGCGTTCAACTAAGATAATAATAGCGCCCATAACGCCGTTTCCTCATGCTGTAGATTTTACAGCTTCTTCCACGAAGCTAAGCTGACAATTCAGCTCGGGGTTGCAAAAAAAAGTGTGACCATCCTTCCATCATGAGATGCGTACAAGTTTGCCCAGCGATTACTCTCAGAAAAAGGCCCCTCTCCCGTCCATCGTACGAGGGAAGCGTCCCGATGGGACAAATTCCAATCACACCTCAGGTAGATCGTAGCTTTCCCCTTCTACACTTCCCCTCATCTTCTTTTCTGAACCATAATAACGGCGCAGGTAGTATCATCAACCCGTTTGCTGCGACGAAACATCATGCAAAAATCAAGAAAAAAAAGGTCCTACGCAGGACGCGGAACGCGAAACGCGGTCGAAGATGAGTCGAACCGAAACGATGCAATGCAAGTTCCCCCAACATAAAACGCCTTTTTTCACCAACCCCAAAAACCCAGATATATCCCGTAACGGGCCCGAGGGACGTCATGACGAAGTAGAAACGGAGGATGACGAACCCCTCGCCAAACTGAGCAGACTGCTCACGATCCCACCCGAAACAGCACTCGTCGGCTCGTCTTCGTTGTTGCCAGCTTTGAGATTATCCATCTCCAGACGCGGCAGCACGCCGACCACATTCCGAGATTCCTTCTCTTCCTGCGCCTGTGGTGCCTGTGTCGTCGCCACTTCGGCCTCGGCGGACTCCTGCGATTGCGCGGGCTCGTCCGTCTCAGTCTCCTCGACGACCTCCTCCTCGGCGTCCTTCTCGGGAGGGCCATCACGGCTTGACGGCGGCTGCACCATGACCCTCGGCAGGGCCCTCTCCGTCGTCTGCGTTTGCGCCTGCGTCTTCGTCTCCTGCTGTTGCTGCCCCGGTCGCGGCTTCACCTCCAACTTATCAAGCGGCACGTTCTCCTGTCCCGTCTGGAGCTTGTAATTCGCGAGTCCGAGTTTCAGTCGAAGGATCCGAGCTTTCTGTAATACCAAACACACCGCAAGTCAGCAATCAATCGAACCAAGGTATCATCTGAGTAACGCAAGGGGAGAAAAAGATTTCGTACCTGTCGCGCCTCCTCGCGGGTCAACAACCTCCTCGGCCTCGGCGGCGGCAGGGTCCTAGCCTGCTCTGCGTCGGGCTCGGTGAGGATGGTGGTGTTTTGGGACGTGTCCACGGCCGAGGTGTCGAACACGACCGACGTGTCTGCGGGGGACGCGGAGCGGGTTCGCGGTGTCTCGTGCCGCGACCCTTCCTGCTGTTGTTCTGGCAGCAGTTCGTTCTCGCCCTGCACCACCTCGGGTTCTGGTTGTTGTTGCTCGCTGTGCTGATTTTGCTCGTCTGATTGTTCGCTCTGGGTCTGTCAATGGCACGCGTGTCAGTACACCAATTCTCAATGTATGTTATCAATTGACTTCTTTCTGAGATATCTTCTTACCTCTGTGGCATCGGGATCAACGTCCATCTCCATCTCCGTCTGTGCGGGCGCTGGCGCGGGAGTTGGTGCGGCTGCGGATGCAGATGGAATAGTAGTAATTGGTGAAGTAGCTTCAGGTGCCAATGCAACTTCTCGCATAGGTGCAGTTGCAGGTGCAGCTACAGCTACGGGTGCAGCAATAGTAGTAGTAGCAGCATCAGAAGCAACAGCAGCAGAGGCTGGCTCCTGGCACTGCTTCTTCTTAGGAACGAGTACGTTCTCGTCAAAGATGTCGACGACGGCGGCGGCAAAGGACCTCTTGAGATTGAGAGACTTGACGGGGCTGCCGCTGCTGCTGCTCTTACGCGGCGATTGAGGCGCCGCCCCGAGCTTGGAGTGTTTGTGCAGCTTCGTGGGCGACGATATCGCGTTCACGTTCGCGTCCAGGGGCGCGAGGGCGCGTCTCTTTACCGGCGATGAGGGGTCCATTACTTTTTTTTTTGGTATTGGTGCTGTGTAGGCACGTTGGATGTGTACCGTGTGTATGCGTGTTTGCGTTGATGGGTTGGTAAAGACCGTGTTATGTGTATACCTGATGTTTCCTTTTTCCTCTTTCCTGCAACACCGTTGAAAGTTTGGAGGAAAGGGAGCTTTTGGGGGGAAAAGGGAAAGGGAGGGAAGAGGACGTAGTTGGGGGTCTGGATGCTCGGAGTGGTTGATTGGAGGTTAGGTGGGTAGGTTACGGAGTAGTTTGACGGGATGGGAGAGAGCGTGTTGGTGTGGAGGAGGGGGGGGAGGGATGAGAGTAAAGCACCTTAGCCAAAAAGCCCCAAGGTAATACCTAGTAAAGGTGCACGCGGAGAGGGGATACGGAGAAGAGAGTGAGAGAAAGAGAGAAGGAGAGAGAGGGAAAGAAAGAGGAAGAGGGAAGAGTTGCTATTTCCACGCAAATCGCCAATTTACAAAAAAGCTCTCAAGCGAACTTCTCGGAGCGTGTTTCGTGGCGTGCCGTGGATGGAGCTGGGCGACGTGCAGTGCTGGGGGTGCTAGGGGATTGTCACACGTCCAGTGTTAAGGTACCTCTGACCTCTGACCTCTGACCTCTGAGCCTAAACCCAACCCGACCTGGAACGAATGAAGAACGGCTCCCGCCCGCGTGCAGCTGTAGCAACACAAGAATGCGGTAACATAACCCACTGAATTGGGGGGACTGAGCCTCCGAGCCTCTGAGGTGCTTCCCTCCCGCCCTCTGCCCGTGCGTTTTGTATTTTCTAAACAAAACAAACAACAGCAACAGACTGTTTGTTGACGTTTGACATTTTTTGACGTCTGATGTCCCAGTTGCTCAACGTTGCCAAAAACCTTGGTTTCCTTTTGAGAACGTTAGGGAGAAGAGATGAAATTTCTCACGACCAAGGGGGGGAAAAGGGGAAAGGGAGCTGTTCAATGTGTGTGTTGGTCAGGTATTCCATGGAATACCTTAAGGTATGATAATGATCTAGTTACACACACACAGACAAAGACGCGTAAGAGGGTGGTGCGCTGCACCTTTTTGACCGTTTGTCTGAGAAGGAATATGTAGGTAGAACGGTAGCGTCTCAGGGACCGCGTACCCGCGTTTAGTAGCGCACTTTTCCGGACTCTTCACTGCATGAGCCTCACTATAAAATAGACAGTAAACCTAGCAAAAAGAAAGAAAAGAGTAAAGAACATACCGCCCCAAAATCGCGGCCCGCTTCATCGCCCCCCCTTGTTTGGTGGCTGGCATACTCAGTCGCGTACCCCTGCTGCGTCAAAAAAGTCCAAAACCCGCCCGCGGCACGTCACTGCTTTCGTCGGGTCCCGTCACCTACCACCCTACCTACCTACCTTAGGTACCTTAACACGCTGCACCGCAGAAAGTTCCAAAACTCAGGGAACCTTACAGTGTATAATAGCGCTCTCCAGGGGAAGGGGGTGGGGGGGACCTAGAACTAAGGTACTGTACAACCGTGTTCCAGACCGCGGCTTACATAAGTACACCAGCACCACCACCTGCAGAAGAAAAGTAGTCCCCAGAGGCGCGTTGCAACTTTTCCAAGTCTGCAAGGGTTCCGCCTAGCCACCCGGTCGATCGCATCTGGCCTAGCGCTAACGAAACATGAAGATGCAGGTACCGGGGGGACACGCACCCACGCACCGTTCAGGGTCCACGCTGCTGGGATCGACGTGACACCTCCCCCCAAAGAACCGACCCGAAGAACTGACCTAAGGTACCTACGGATACCCTTCCCGTCAACTGTTAGTGAATTTGGGGTACTATCAACCACCACGCGTCGTTTGGCGTTGACATTGGCGCTTGACTGGCATGGGCGAGTCCTCCCTCCTCCCTCTTCTCATTTTCCACTTATTCACAACTCAAACGTGCTTGTTTGTAGGTTCAAGCCTCTCAAGATACTCTAGAGCATGGCAACATCTCATAATCACAGTCTCACGAGACGCTCGTTTGTAAACTCGGGTATCATTCCTCTCGCCCTTGCGAGAGTTGCGCTGACGCTTTCGTCCTCGCCAAGGAAACTAACTAAAACAATTCGGCCTCCTTCCCCCCTCGATACATACAACATGTAGAAGTAGCTGTCTCTCCAAATAAAATAATCTTCCAAAGACAGCAAAGAAAAGAGAAGTGAAATGTAATCATCTTCGTCGCATCCTCAAACCACCCAGGCAAACAACTTTCTCCGTATACCAATAGTAAAAAAAAAAAACCCACAAACGCTCGAAAAAGAGATCAGCCCAGAGCCTGCGCACTGAGCCAGTCTACAACCCTGCCAGAGGAACGCCGAACCCTTTGCTTTTCCCAATGCTAACCTTGCCCACCCATCCAATGAACCGGCTGGTCGTCATTCGTGGAACTCTCTCCCGGGGGTATCCAGCATCCGCTTTCCATCGTATTTGTTGGTCACTTTTCTTTTTTTTAAGTCCTCTTTCTGCTTCGTCTTTGCCACTTTGCTCCTCGTCTCTGTTTTTCACATCGACGACGAGACATCGAGTGAGTATAGGCTGTTGTCGAACTGGAACGGCTTGTTGAAGTCATTCGTCACTTCGTCCCAGTTAGGGAACTGCTCCATCGGCGCCATCGCCTCCTCTAGCATCAACCCCTCAAATTCGGCCCCACCGTCAAGTCCGTCCATGTTGATGTTGTTCATATCGAGAAGCACATCCATGTCGACTGGTTGCCAGTTGAGGTCAATGTCCAGGTGGACACCCTCCGAAATATCGCTGTTGGGCTCCGATGATCCGCTGTCCTTGCTCGACTCGGGTGTATCGTTCGGCGTCTGTGACAGGTACACGGCCATGTCGCTGATGACGCCGTTGGCGCCGAGCTCGAACTTGCCGAGGTTGTTGAACAGGCTCTGTGGGTTGACCGTCGTTGCCCACGCATCCATCGCCGGAGCCGGTGCCGCCGCTACCTCGGGCTGCTTGTGCTCCATCTTGGGAGTGTTGTCCGTCTTGCCAACCGCAAGCTTGTTATCCTGTGCCTTCCCTCCCATCTTGCTGCCCGTACGCTGCATCGACGCATCTCGAGACATTGGCGTCGCACCCGGATTGCTGGCTGGTGTTTGACCTTGTTTGGATGCGTTCTGGCCCATTGGCTGTGCAGTGACTGGCATCTGACCGTTGGCATCCAATCCCAAAGAGAGAGCCAGGTTTTCTTGCATGAACTTCATGGGATCCTCCAGTGGCTTGACATGCTCTTCTTGAATATGCGTCTGTCGCGCCTGCTCTGAAGGGAAGCCCGTTGTGGCCATCTCGCAGTCTGCCTCGGGGCACAAGAACATGGGTTTTGGCGGCGCCTTGGGTTCGGGCATGGCCTGCCTCTTGAGTTCCGGGGAACCAGACTTGCTGATCTGGGGCGACGGGGTTGTCTGGCTCGGCTGCTGGGGCGGCGTCGGTTGCGCTCCAGTCTTGGCCTTCTTTCGCGGGTTGGGCAATTTCAGGTTGTCCCTATTCACCTTTGGCCTGTCCATGTAAGTAGGATCGCCATGCGGAGAGGTTGCGTTGAACGGGAATGGAGGCTGGCTCGTCGTTGGTGCAGCTGGGGGGGCCCCGCTCTTGCTGTTGGACCGCTGGTGCATATTGTTCAAAGCCTTGGTCTGCTTCTCCAAGTTGGCCGCACTCAATGGCGTCACCTGCCCGCTTTGAGCAGGAGTAGCACCGGCCTGGTTCGGCGCTGCGGGTTGGCCTTGCTGTGGTGGCACGGCACCAGCCTTCTTGCCGAGGGAGGCACAGTCGCGCGCCATGCTCTCGAGGAGTCGACGAACCTCGTCGATCTCGGCGGGCCTGACACTGAAGACTGGCTTCGGGTTCATCATGTGTTCACCGTCGGTGAATTGTCTGATCATCCGGAGCCGCTAGGTCATGTTAGTAAACTGTCAAAAACCAGCAACGAGCATGATTGTCTACTTACAGCTCGGAAATAGCTCTTGGCGCGCTGATCATCACGGGTTGCGGCATACCAGCGTCCCAGGGCCTTTCCAATCTTGCCCATGTCGACCACGATCTTCATGAGCTTGGTGCAAGTCTCTGTACGCTGCTCGGGTGGCATGGGGATATCAGGCATATGCTCCGTCATCATCAACCTCTGCTCTTCTTGACCAATGCGCCTGAGCTTGTCAAAGTCGTTCTCCGTAGGTGCAATGCCCGAGCCTGCAGCTTGCATGGCCTGTTGGCGATTCTTCATTGCCTCGTACTTGGCCCTTTGCTCAGGATTCATGGCCGCAATTTGCTCTGGGGTGAAGTTCGGGAACGGGCGCATCTGGCCTGGTTGGGCAGTTGGCCTCTGAGGCTGCTGAGATGCCTGAGGGACGTCGGCAGGCTCGTCAGTGCTGGGTCGCTTGAGGTTCTTCTGCTGCGTCGCAGGCGAGGGATTCGGAGGCTGTGCTTGGTTGCTCGAGGCCGGACGGTTGTTGTTGTTGGTGTTGTTGTTCCGTGGTGCCGCGGCGTTGGCAACGGCCTTCTGATCAGGAGTAGCGCTCTGCTGCTTCGGCGGTGCCGGTGGCGCTTGCGCGGGCGTCGGGGTGATATTTGCGGGTATACCGGGCTGTGGCATTTGGGGTGGTTGAGGTGCAGACACTGGGATGGTTGGTCCTCCCGGCGCCGGTAGCCCTTGTGATTGAGCCTGGCGCATGGCCATCTCTTTCTGCATCGCGGCAGCCATCTGCCGTTGCTTAATCTGGATGATGAACTGTCTCAGTTGATCGTCGGTAAGGCTAGCAATCTTGGGGTTGGCCTTGCGAGCGTTCATGATATCAGTTGGCGTCACCTGAATCATGTGAGCTGGAATACTCGGCATGCCAGGCGGCATGCCTGGTTGGTTGGGTGCCTGCGGATTCTGTACGCCGTTGCCGGGCTGCATCCCGTTCTGCTGTGGCTGCGCTGGTCCTTGAGGTTGAGCTTGTTGAGGCGGCTGTGCAATTTGCTGTAGTTGAGCCTGTGGCGGGACCTGCTGAGGCGGCTGAGATTGAGGCGGTTGCGGTTGCTGCGTTTGTTGCTGCTGCGCTGCCGCCGCTGCTGCCTGCTGCTGGTTGCGTTTCTCCATCTGCCTCTGCATGTAGGTCGCGAACTGCGATCTCTGAATTCTCTCGAGATGTTGTTGCAACTGTGGCTGTACGGGGTTTTGTGCGAGCCATTGCCGGAGGTCCTTCCACTTGCGTACCTCAGGAGGAGCGCGAAGCTGGTTGCCTACTTGTTGGAGGACTGGTGGCGGTAGCTCCATGCTGTCCATCATGACCTGGTGAGCCGGTGCTACAGGTGTTTGCTGGTTTCTCAATCGGTTCAGCATCTGCTGCTGCTGAGCAATGAGTTGCTGCTGGTTGTTAGGAGCAGGAGCACCTGGCTGCGCTTGCTGAGGCATCATGCCGTTGTTCATGAATTGATTGCCATTGGCAACGTTGAATTGTCCAAGTTGCCCTGGTCGACCCTGCATCTGGCCTGGGTTGCCCATAGCATTCATTTGCATCTTGCGCTGTTGCTCCTGCCACTTCTGCATGACTTCGTTCAGCTTGTCGGGTGGCAGACCGTGGACAGCCTGCCTTTGCTCGGGATTCATGCTTGCCATCATGCTGTGGAAAAGCGGGGTGTTGGTCATGTTCATGTTGCCCGCTGCGCCCATCGGCCGTTGGTTGCCCTGGTTGAAACGGGGGTCGAGAGTGCCAGCAAAGGGACCATTTGCCTGTTGCCCATTCTGGCCTTCCATGGGATTCATGGCGCTCGGAGGACGGCGCATGGGGGTGTTCAGGGTGTTCATACCCGGGCTCTGGGATGGCGGTGCGCCACCGAGACCGTTCGGCTGCCCCTGTAATTGTCTGGCTTGCTGTTGAGCACGCATCTGTGCCGCGTGTTGCGACTGCTGTTGCTCAATCTTGAGTTGTTGCGCCTGCTGCATACTCAACTGTTGCTGAGCCTGGTTTGGTCGCGGTGTTTGATTCTGTCCAGGCTGATTAGGCATTCCCTGACCTTGACCCCCAGCGATGGGTTGCGGCGTGGCGTTACGCGCTGGGCCGTTGCTCGCAGGCACGACCATCTGGCCTTGCTCCTGGGCTAGTATGCCCGCCTTTTGTTGGTTCATGATGCTCTCCATGGTGAACTGGCCAAAGTCCCCATTGCCAGACTGCATATTTGCCGCGTTCATCATCGCCGGGTTGATTTGTCCTCTGCCGGCTTGCATCATGGCCTGGGCTTGGGCAGGGTTCATGTTGGGCGGCATGCCGCCCTGTTGCTGTCGCTGTCTGGCCAGAGCGGCGTTTTTTGACAGGCCTTGGAAGGCCTGGTGCTGGAACCAGATCAAGACCGGATCCTTGCCTTGAGCGGTGTATTCCTGTGCCCTCTGTGCGAACCGGGTCTGCACAATATTGCGGTAGTGATTCTTCTGGGGATCGGGGCAAGCGGATGCCATCTTTTGGGCGAGTTCCATCACCTTTTGCTGATCGTGCGGTGTGAGGTTTGAGGCGTCGGTGGGAATGCCGTTTTGTGGTCGTCCTTGTCCACCGGGCATCTGGAACATCTGCTGGTTGGGCCCTATCGGTTGGCCACCTTGGTTTCCCATGTTCACACCCATCTGGCCCTGTTGAGGGATCTGCGATGCTTGCATCTGGTGCTGGAGATGCTGGAAGCCCTGCTGTTGGTTCTGGCCCATTCCTCGCCCCATCTGGTTCTGCATAGCCGCGTTTTGATTCATCATGAGCTGTTGTTGAGCCTGTGCCGCAGCTTGGGCTTGGAGGTTGTTGGTCATGGTCTGCTCGTTCGCCTGTCGTCGTCGGAAGAACTCGTTCGTCTTGTTGCTCATTTGGGCCTCGTATTGAGCCTGCACCATCATGTTAGTGTTTCCCTAATGGGGGAGAGGCACCAGGGCGAAACTTCTTCGCTCAAATCCTTACCTTATCTTGACACTTGTTGAAGGCATCGCGCTCGAAGTTCACGCCAACTTCTGCTGCCTTCATGAAATCAATGGAGGGCACGGCAAGGCCAATGTTTGTGATCCTGAAGAAAAACGTCGTGTCAGTCGCGGCAAGACACAGGGCATGTCAGAGGGTGGAAATCGGACTCAACGTACAAGTTATGGCACTTGATCATGCGCTCCTGGATAGCCACGCCGGCTTGCCAGCCTGTGTGAGGCTGTTGCTGGGCGAGCATGGTCTGGTAAAGAAACTGGTTCAACTGAACCTGGGAGGGTCGGGGACGCGGCGGTTGCTGTTGCATCATTCCCGCCGCTCCCGCCATGTGTTGCATGTTCGCGGCCATGGCCGCTTTCCACGGGTTTTACACAAGTCTCCTACGGCAATTCAAGAACCGATCGTTTCGGTCGGCAAGGGACCAGGGACCTTCGATCGACTGCTGTGATGAGGTCTGCGGTCCAGTGGTCGGAATGGTGGGAGAGAAGCTTGATCGAGTTGAAAGGTCCAAAGCTTAGGAGTGTTGCTGGTCTGGTTTTGTTCTTAACAATGAGGCACGGAGCCGTTGACTGCCTGCAGGATGCCTAACGACTTGCGACAGGCATGAAGGAGCTAGTCGGGTGCTGTAAGCGACTAAAAAGCTGGTGTTGCGCTCGTAGAGTTGTTGCGATGCCACGCAAAAATCCTGTTCGTCGTCGGTGGGCGTCCTGGAGTAGTGAGGAGGATGACGAGGCAAGTGTGGGTGGTGGTTCGGCGGTCTCGTCTCGTGTTTTTCGTTCACGCAGATTACGTGGAGTCGTCAAGGGACCCGAGCGCCTGGTTCAGCAACGAATTTGGATGTTGCGCCAGTCGCTGTAACATGAAGTTGAGGAAGAAAGATGCAGACAACTCGACTGGAGAGAGGAGTGAAGAGCAAATGACCCGCGACGAGAGGTGGCTGTCGGTGGTGGGTTGTTGTGGTTTCGGTTGTGTCCGTCCAGGAGCGGCGGAAATTCCAGAGAGTGGAGGGTGGGCGTGGACAGCCGCAGGTCGAGACAAAGCGAGCCGGGGGTGGTCTGTGAAAACGGGACGGTACTGTGCGTAGCAAATTATGCAATACAAACTTGTCGTCTCTGTAGGCGACGCCAGATTCTGGATCGGTGAACAGCGGCGACGAGTGCGACGAGTGCGACGAGAAGCTCACGAAGAAAAGAGGAAAAATCGACAACAACGACGGAGCGGCCGTGTGGAGTGTGTTGTAGGAAGAGAAAAAGAGGCGGAAGAGATGGCTGCTGCAAGAGAGAGAGAGAGAGAGAGAGAGAGAAGAGGTGTGTGCGTGCGTGCGTGGTGCGGCGTGTGGTGAGTGCAGTGAGCAATGGGTTACGGCAGAGGACGGGATCGTTGGGCGTGGTGGAGCCTCCTGGAGATGGGCTTTGCTCGCTCAGTGCCAGTTGATTTAGGTTCTGGTGGGCTCAGGATTGGCGCCCTTTTAAGCGTGGAGCCTATTTTTGCCTGTGGTCGACGGTCGACTAGGGTGGCTGAAACGACAATTGGACGAGGAAATCGAGGTGGGAAGCTGTCGTCGTAATCGCCCTATATCGCGAAAAGACGCTCGTTCACCTTTTTCTGGAGTGAATCAGATGAGCAAGGTGAGAAAAGAGAAGGAGAGGAGGGGATTCCAACCATTCTCTCAAAGAAGAGGGGCGACCAGGCGACTGACTGCTGAGAAGGAGGGCCCGGAGGAAGAGGAGAGAGAGGTGGTGACAGAATACCTAGTCGTGTGTAGAGAAAGAAAGGGAGGGAGGGAGGACGTATACGTGACAAGATGGACGAGGATGAGGTCGGAGGTCGGAGCAGGTAGGTAGGTGTATTCGTACGAATAGAATGGTAGTAGTCGAGGTAGGGCGAAGAGAGAGGAAGAGGGCGCGCGCAGTGAGGAAGCAGGTCTGGTGGTGGTGGTGGATGTGAGCGAGACTGTGAGAGTGACTGGGGACGAGGTGCCAGGCACCATGAGCGTGAGTACGTGGGTGGTGGTGGGAGACCAGACAGAGAGAGGAGAGGATGGGCTTGGATGGGGCCTGCAGGGCGGCGAGATGCGCAGGTGGAGAGGGGAGGGCGTGCGACGATGAGTGGACGACAGCGCGGATTGGTGAGAGATGATTGGACGAGGGCATGTAAAGGAGGGGGTGTAGTGTAAATCTGGAAGTGGGGGGTGGGAGGTAGCTGTAGGAAAGAGCAGGGCAGCGCAGCAGGAGCAACAAGAGGCAGGCCGCAAGAGCCAGGTACCGGTGAGCTTAGGAAGGTGCACGAGGTACCTTGCCTCACCTCACGTGCAAGGGTTCGTCACTACTTCAGGTACCTGAAGTTGGCGAGGGAGAGACGGGAGTTTCTGCTGGACGTAATTCTGTTGCTCTCTTCCCACTTTTTCAATTGATAAAAGTAGGCCAGATGTTGATTCCGTATAAGTCTCTGTCTATATCTGAGCTTTGAATACGTGAAAAGGGTTGCGACCGTTCGTCCCGGCAAGAGAGAGGATGGTCTTGGTCATGAGGACCGGGCATTCGGTGTAAGTTGAACTTGAGGTGAGGGCCGGGTGGGCAGCGAGCCCGTACCCTTGGGCAGTAAGGTAGGAAAGGTACCTTGGGACGAAAAGGTACACACTTCACGCTTCGCACCAGGGCAAGCGCTGCACAGCAATACCGGCATGCAAAAGACAGGGCAGCCGCCGCAGCCCATCCTTTTTTTTTGCGGTCCATGGCGACCTGCCAACCAGCGCGCGCCTGGTCGCCAACACTGACTGCATTGGCATCAGAATATGGACTGGACTGTGAGGTGCAATGGAGACTGGCATTGGAAGACTGGGGAGGGGGGATAAACATGGACGAGGAAAGACGGGCAAGGTAAGGTACGGAGTACCTACCTAGGAATACGTATAGAGGTAGGGGGGAAGGAAGGAAGGGAAGGGAAGGGAAGCCAGGCGGGCTAAAGTGGGCACCTGGCGAAAATGGGGGACCCTATTCCTTCCTTTCCTTTTCTTTCCTTTGCGCAGTTGGTGATTTTTTATTTTATTCTATCCGAACCTTTTTTTCGTTTTATTTCTTATGCGGTTCCTGGCTTCCCGCCCTCGGGCCTTAGGAAAGACTACCTTACTCCATCCCTCATCTACCTCACATATCCGCAGAATCTAACACTCTGGCACTCTGGCGCTCTGAGAGGGGAAAACCAAACCAGACAGGGCAGGGACTGGGACGTGGACTGTGAGAGGGGAGGGGGGCTGATGTGGTATTAGTGACAGGGGGGTGCGGTCAAGATACCTTGGACACACCACGCACATTCTCTGTCTGCCTCCATCTCTCGCTCCCCGTTGCCCATAATGTAATGCCACCAGCGATCAGCCCTTTCTGCCACTCTATCCGTACCATTTCTTACTCATTCTCGTCGTTCTTATTGCTCATTGAACCTGGCTTGAGGCCCTACATTCTCACAGCGACATCTCCAGTTGTTGAGACTGATACGAAAAACAGAGACCCGGCATTTGTCAACACGTACCAGTCTGTCAGCGCAGCGGTGTAGGAAGCGGTTAACAATGGTCCGCGATACTCTTGACTTTACAACTATGTATCATGGGTGCTAACACGACACAACCCGGTAGCCAACTCTACAAGTAGACTCTGTGTGTACTTCGTACCTCGAGCCCAGGCCCTCCGGGTAAGCCTTTGACAACCAGCCAGAACCGATATCTGCCATGTACACCTAAATACCTTACTGCGTACACAATCTTTGCCTATGTCTCCGTACTACATACGTCTATCTATCCAAGGCGCATCAGAATAACGCTCCGGAAACGAACGACGTTGACGAACGATATGGTGCGAGTGTGGTGGTGTCCTCGCCTCATCTGCTTCATCTAACCTTTGGAGAGCTTCTTTCACTCCGTGCCAACCGACGACGGTACAAAGTACAGACAGACCGAAGGGGTCAGTGCCGGGGACCAGGGTCAGAGCCAACCTCGATACCGGACCCCGTATGTCTGATATACCCTGTCTTGGCCTTGCCTTGGCCGTCTTCTTCTGTCTGCCCCCCCCTCCGAGGCTATTCCAAAAGGTTTCCAGCTTCGGGGGCGGTCATGATTACTCACGACTATACGGATAGAGCACCAAGTATTGCTGTTCATCTCCCTCCAGATGCTCAGCCTGGAAGAGCCACGTATCGAATACCCACCAGCAATTCACCAGACTGTTGTACCACATTGCGATGCGACGATCACCATGAGCTCTCTCCAGCAAATCGTGGAGGAGCAAATCCCATGGTCACGGCCATCTCTCAAAAACCCCCCAGTCACGCGTCTCGCTCGCCAGTGATTTACATCACCCGGTGAGCAGGGCAAGGCAAGCCGGTAAGGACCGGCACGGCTACGCCACAGTCCACGGCACCTCGTCTTTTCCCAATTACCAGGGACCTGCCCCGGGCAATCCGCGATGCGAGAGGCAAAGGAATGTAGAGGAATTTCGACGTCCCCAATTCTTCATCTCGGTCTTCGTACGAAGAATCAGTTAGTCAGCTGGACCATTCCTAGTTACCTTGTACCAACAGACCCTTTCTACATTCCATTTCACTTCTGCGCTGGGTTCTCTTAAGTGGTCGTCGACTTTCTCCATCTTCCAATGGTTACGCCGCGCATTCTTGAAGCCTGGCAGCATCAACACTCGGTCCGTCGATACAATCCAATGTCTCTCCCGAGTCCAGCCTGGCAAGACATTGGCCCATTGGCGAGTTCCTCCCACCCTAACAAAGTGCGAACGGATACATAGGCGGCCTACTCGGTAATAGTGTTGGAATAGATGCAGGCCACCCGTCAACCTTTTTCCTAGGACGAGCCTCGTTTGTCTTTGCCTCATTTCTTCTTATCCCCTTCCCTCTCGTCTTGCTTCTCAAGTGGGCAAGTAAGTTTTCATTCCTGTTCCTTTTTCTGCTTCCCATTACTAGTTGAACCATTCTGCCGTCACACTCTTGTCATTCCTATTCGCCCGTCGTCTTGTCTTCCAGATCCCCACGTCCCAGTAACATGGTCCTCAAGTCCGAGTCCTTCCCGCCCACGCATTCCCCAATTCACATTTCAGCGCTTAGTTGCTTTATTCTTCTTGTCCCCGTCACACTGGTGTCCCTGCTCCTGTCAGGTACACCTGATAGGAGACAAAGCAGAGGTGCCTGTTGAGAAGAAGGAGCTGCAAATACAATAACTTAGCAGGGAATATGTGCCCTTGCATTGATGCTTTGCATATCCGTACTGTACAGACTACAGACTACGCAGTACAGACTAGAGGTCATTGACGAGGAAGAATCTTGACCGCAAACACTCCCGGTACTTTG